TTCGATAAATTCTCAGTGTACGACATATAAATATCTGCTAAAAGGGGCCCTAACAGACTGCCCATAGCAACACCATCAACTTGGCGGAAACAATCGCCTTCAAATGTAAACCTAGCATAGTTAGTACATAGAAGTAATAAATCCCATAAGTAAGATATAGGGAACGGGATGACAAAATTGTTTGTGGAAATATAATCACACAAAGTGTCAACTGAATAAGTTGGCAAAAATGTGTGTTACTCAAGTCTCGAATAACTAAGTTTGCTGAGATATTTCAACTCAAAAAGTTTAGTAACAAACGGAACGCTCCATTACATGCAATGCTCAGATAATTTTATACTAGATTAGGAATTCGAAATCGACAAGTGGACTGTTAGTCTGTATTGTCAGTTGACGTAAACTATCTACAAATGACATACCGTATGCAACCGTCCTGAAAGGTTCAGCGTTAGGCTGTATTTGCAAAAAAATAACTATCATCAGTGTCTGGAATATTTCAGGTATTTTCTTAGGAAAACTGCTACATCAGAGACGTCGGCCAACTAAGTTTGAATTTTTACGAGCACCTAAATAACTTCACTGTACTCACCTGTTAGTGACACAATTGGTGCACAAATGATTCGCAGAGGGTTTTCGCTGAAAATAATCGTCAAATAATCAGTGTTTCTCTTAGTGTGAGATATATACTGGAATTTCTGCAACTGGAAAGATTCCCATAGTAGATTAAAAGGTTAGGAAGTAAATATATAAAGCTTCACACTGAATAGGAACGATTGGAAATGCAAGACAAACATTTATCAATCGGAAATCAATTTGAAAATCTACTCCACGCAACATATATAACAAATTACAGATTTTTAATACTAACATCAAGTCAGTCTTTCTTCAGAGACTCGGAGTCTCACAAAAGGCATTTCGAATATGCTGTCAGTTTCCATCAGCAGCTGCCTTCTCTAACTACATAGTGAAGACCATGTGGTCAGAAAGGATAAGCAACCAGGACTTCTGGTGAAGAACCAACCAAGAATGTACTACTCAACGAATATCCTAAAAGAAATAGAGATTGGCTGGACACGCTAAGAAGAAATATGAGTCGAGTGGAAACAACACATTTTGCACGGGTAAGAGTGTAACTATGAGGGGATCGTCTGAGGAGGAGTTGAAAGCGTACGATCGATTTTCGAGCCAGCCAACACTTAAGCCATGCTCATTTATCTTGATTTCAATCCGTTCGAGAGTTTTTAACTGAAATTGAATAGAAATTTGAAGGATTTCTGAAAGTTGAGTTGAAAGTTTTAAGCTTACTGGGCCTTCTGTTATTGAATTGTTGATACATCTTAGCTGGACGGTTTGGATATTGTTCTGTAGCGGCTACCACAAGCAGACACATTGCAAGAATTATGTACTGACATGTATATATGGCATCATACAATAACTTATCTAAAACAATTAGTCGCTTTTATAAATTTGGCTAGCGTTATTAGAAGACGGAGATTATCTGGAAAATATGATGTATTTGCGCTATACATTTCAAACAATCTGATTACACATTTACTTGTGTTAATCACCCTTAAATCGTTTTCTTGTCACTTTGTTTAATTTAACTTTTTCATATATATCGAATTGACAAGTAACTGTGTGATCAAACTATTCGAAATGCATAGCGCAAATACATCACATTTATCAGATAATCTCCGTCTTCTAATAACGCTATGCAAATAACTTATCTTTCACAGGCTGAACGAATAGTTTCTTGAAATAAACTATTATTCATAGGTCGGCAGCAAAGTATGTCGTAATAAGAGATTCGAAAAGCCTTTTCCTGAAATTTCCCCTCAGTGTCACTTTTGCAGTTGTCTGCTTGGCTTGTTGACGTTGTCATCAAGTAGAAGTTAAAGTGACAAGAGTATCTGAATTGTTTTCGAAATTGCTGGTTTGACCTTCTAAAGAATATTAATAACCTTCAAACCTATTTCTAGAGACCTCTGCTGATTTACTTTTAATATTTATTAGCAGTACGATTATAACGATACTAAAATCAGCATTTTACACAGAGCTAAAATTCGACTCGCATACACTTGCGATTCTGCTTTTGGACGCTGAGCTAAGACATTTTATGGGTGAAAACGTTTATCTTACACGACATCCAAACAGATGAGACTTCTTAACAGTAGGCTGGAAGACTACCTAGCTAATGTGTATGTGAATATGTAACAGAAAAAATGTAAACTTATATTTTTTGATGCAGTTATGTTATCTAATCCCAATTATTCAATTTCGGTCTTATAAAAACACTTGCATATATATACACGTTCTGATTTGGTAGTATACTGAGTGTTTATGCGTATCGCATCCTAGATATACCCAACTCTTCCAATCACTCAGCAGCAAGGTGGCTACTGTGTTCGCTGAAGTCTCTTTAGTGCTATTTTTTGAAATATTTGTGTAAAGCATGCTTTAGGCTGTATAGAACTTAACGTTGTAAGACAGTGACGTCTCGGCATTCAACAAAATTATTCGACAGCTCTCAATATACGGTGAATTTGTTGACTATATGGATGATTGGATAGAATATCAAAATATACAAAACGAGTTCTAAATGATAAATCGAAATGATCATCCATTCTGCATTCTCTAATGAATTCTGCAGACAAGTGGATGATTCCTCAATGGATTCTTTTCTGGATCTTATCCTACTGAATATGTTTGTAACAAGCTAGAGATAAATCCGTATAAGCTTCATATAAAACAATTATTTGGAACAAAATATCCAATGAACAAAGGCTTCTGAGTACTTCCAATAAGTTAAGTTCAGTTATGAAGTTCACCTTTAGGCTGCAACTTTTCCACAAGATCAAATCACTCAAAACTCACGTAGGCTTATGATGAGTAACATACATCAGATGAAAACGTAGACTCTTCAGTACATCTTTCTTCACAGCTATAAAATTCTGTTTTTGTTGATCAATAATTTGTACTTTACAAATAATTTTTTGACTTTTACAGTCAAAGTGTACAGATTTGAATTGGATAGCCCTTAAACTCATCTTGGTTGTTCCGTTCATACTAATTTTAATGCACAGAAAACACTAGAATGACTTTGCTAAGCTACCAAAGAAGAGAAACTTAGACTTCAGGAAGAACTGGCGTGCAAACACGCCAAGTAAATTACTATAAAGAATGCAGGATACACCGGCTGCAGAACTCTGCCCTCCCAAACAAGCTAGATTCAGGAAAGGCGAATTATGCGCACGTCAAATAACAACTCTACATAACAGCGTAGAATAGAGCATAGAATAGCAGTCGAACGTCTACCTCCATTTCACGGACTTTCAAAAGGCCCTTGACACTACTGTCCATGCAATAATTAGGAAACTAATTCAAAACTAAACCACGCCTCAATTCTTTAAAATCCGATCTAAAAGCCACGTGACCATGGCACGTGTCAGCTGATCCACAACGGAAAATTCAGTGAGGCGTTAAAAGTTAAATACAGGGTTAAGACATTGTCGGCTACCCACTAACAATGATGATGTTCCTAATTGTTACAGACTGGATTATACGTCAGACTGCAGGAAGGATAAGCACTTTGAAAAAACTGGGTTTTGCAGACGATTTATGCCTAAAGTCACATAAACTTACACACGACTTACAGGCAAAAGCCAATACACAGGTCGCACAGAAAAACGATTGTCTACTCGCATGATGGAGTATTTACCGAAGTGGTTGAAAACAGTTGAATGCGAACCTCAATAACAAAACATCTTGTGGACTATGGACATTATATCGACGCTGTCGAGTCATTCACAATATTCATTTTCGTCACCTTGATATCCAACGTCCTACAGACAGTGAAATCCTAAGGTATATCCACAGAAGGCAGACCTAGGAATGAGTGATTTCTCTGAACTCAGAAAGATTCTTCCTCATAAGATGCGAAAAAGGAATTAGTGAGAACTCTGTTTCATCATGTAACAAATCTTTGCTCAAAAGAAAAGGTTGAGGAAGAGTTTTCCAATGTAGAAAATACCCAGACTCAAATGGTTTTCCATAGAAGTTTATCGACAAACATAGGAAACATACTGTGTGAACATTGAGTTGCTATACGGCAGATAAAAAGTTCATCTTTCTATAGCTTGTCTTCGAATGTGATGACATTGTCAGTAAAATAAAATGCAGAATGGAATCCAACTTGAACAACCTAACTTGCTACACTTTATTGAAGCAATCAACATCACAGACATAATATGAAGTCTAACCACGCAGAATGACACGGTAGTGAATCTTGTGATACCTTGGTGATTCAACCTATATAACTAAGTATACAATTCCATTATATCATGTATTCATTCTCCTGTGTTTTCTGTCCTGCTCAGTAAATTTTATTGTTTCATTACCCTACCTCATGTCTACTAGTTTATAAAGACATATTTCTTGCATTAACTCACCCATGACATTGTTATACTCTTTCTAGTTGAACTTTGTTTCCACACACACACACAGAAAATGTTTGATATAAGTTATGATTCGAAATCGTCACCTTTCGGCTACAAGGCAAGTAGATGGACAACCCCGACACTGCGACCCTATCATCAAATGATCATTTCATGGATTCCAACCCCTATAAGTTCCCGATTGGTATCAGCCAGTATTTGTCCTTATTGCCAACCCTGGTCATGACCTCACTGGTCATGACTCCTCACTAGGGAGGATTTTTCTTTCTGTTTCAATGGCACACTCATCTAATTATCCTATAAAATAATCAGTCCGGTTACATATTTTTCTTTCTTCCCTTATGTGATCAGCTTTATTGATCACACTCTGACGAAAGCTTCAGGCTGGTTCTACGGTATTCATAAATCTCAGTAGTGTTTCTGTTAAAATGATTAGAAAAGTGAAATCCAATGAAAACAAAATTTCAAAACACCATCGAAAAATGTATTCCATGATAAGTTCAAACCTTAATTGAAACATTTCAAGAAATCCATATTTACAGCGATAAAAGGATTTCAAATAAAAAAGAACACTTGCCCTGAAAGACAACTGATAACTAACTAACTACTAATAAAACCATAACACTCGGACTTCACAGATAATTTATGTCTAATGTCCAGAAGTTTTGAAGACTTGAAGACAAGAGAAAACCGACAATTTGAGAAAATAATAAGCAAGGACAGAACTTCAAGTGAACATATAGCGAAGACGAGGTTGATGAAGATAGTCAATAATCAGTGCAAACAAGCATCAATCACTGACAACGGGAGAAATTTGAAAAAAGCCACTTCCTTCATTTATCTGGCTAGATGGCATTACATCCGGCGCTGGCGAAATTATCAAAGCCAGTAAGGATCGGAAAGGCAAGACAGAGATTCAGTGATCTGAAACCACTGTGGGAATCTTTTGCACTCAGCATAAACAGAGAAATTTGAATTTCCAACGTGAATTCAAAAGACATTCTTCAACATGGATCAGAAACTTGATGTGTGTTACGGAAATCCACTTTTTTCAGCAAACTCCTAGAGAATTTCATTAAGGGCTAACTTCACTCCATACAAAAGATTAAATGGTCAGAAAGGATTAGAAACTAGACACTATGAGCATAAACCAACCTGTTATTCAAACATCATTCTAAGACAAATGGAGATGGATGGAAACGAAGGGTTGGGCGTAGGTCCTAAGGTGCCTTTGAGGCGATACAGGCGTGAAATAGAGATGTGCCGTTGAAGGCATATGTTCCACTTCTTAACCGAAAGGAATAATAACAATGATGATGATAATAATAATAATATTAGTAGTATATTTTATATACTCATAAAAATTGTCATTGAGAAGAAAATGACAGCATGCAATGGTGTATAGAAAACAGACTAATCTAACTAAAGAATCATCTATCAGATTAATAAATATATATCTATGCCTTTTAGTCATCAGCGTATTTCATGAAGGATAAATGTCATTTGCAAAAACATTCAATGCTGTCCACACTTGTCTTCCAACTTGTCCAATATACGATGGAGGGAGAAGGAATCCATATCGACCTTCATCACATAATTCTATAGTGTAGGCATAGGGGATTTTTAATTCACCGGCAGCATAATCATCTGTAGCACCAGATGCCTCATCTATTATCATCAAAAGACAAAAACATTTTTAAGATTCATTCATATTACTATAATGTTATTTCAGTAGTATCAAAACAACATGAAAAATAATTGAGGTAAGTACTCTTAAAAAGACTATCACACTAAACCACTTTAAAGATAGTGTGTTATTTCATGTAAACTAAATCAAAAAGTTCGTTTATAGGGATTCGTTCTGTTTCACTTTTGATCATGGAATGGTATTAGTTAGAAAAATCATAGTAAAAAAACAGAAGGCAATACTGGTTATCTTTTTTGTCCTAGTTCGAGGCTCTTCAGCATAACGCACTCACCCACCAGGACCTACTATCTACAAGGCATAAATCAAACCTGTACCAAAAACATTAGAGCTACAAGCCTTCTCTATTATTTCAACATTAGTACTTATCTTAGATAATATGTTCACCTTATGAATTCAGACAAAACAATAAGAAGACTTAAATTGTCTGAATCTTGTTGAAATGTATTCGCTCAACACATTTCGAAAAATATGACAACACACAGACTGTTGATATGAATATATATATATATATATATATGAAATTAATAAAGAGTTAGGCGGTGACAAGATAGACTTAGATTGAGTTAAAAGGACATGTTGAATGTCGAAATAAGAATGAAGAACGATAAACCAGAGAAAGGAAGTAACAGGACATCTACCCAGGCTGGAATAAAAACAAAGTTTACCTAGGAAGGTTTATTCTGATGACGAATTGTTTCTGAATGCAAAAACATGGCTTAAACTTTCTATTATGTACTGCTGCTGAGTGAGTTCATAGTAGTTTTCCCTGTTGCCATTTATGTTATGTACTCGTCGAGTAGTTAATGGTCCTGACGCAAAAGGAGGGAAATCAGAAGACCACCAGGTTGACGATGATACTTGTATTTTCCAGACAAGGAAAATAAATGTCACACAAGTGTGTAAATGGAAGGGTAGGTAGTGTACGAAACGTGGGAACAAGTATAAACAAGTATACAGTACAAAAGTATATGTGAAAATGACTAATACACATGAACCAATAAGATAACGTCTAACCATGATTGGTTGTAATGTCATGTGACAACAAGGTCATACATGTTTATTTAGTTAGTGGACAGACAAAAGCATATTGTCAGTTATAATGGAATGTCGATCCATATACACATAGCAAAATATAATAGACTGTCAAAAACAAAACACACATCATGTGGGTACATGTCAATTTCTAACTGCCAGCTTGCTCGTCAGTGGCACAGCTGTAGAATGGTCGCCAACCACGCATATGGTTCGGGATTCAGTCCCGGCTAACGTACTCCTTCACATCACTAAACCAGTAATGATACCGCTAAAGAAGCAAGGCTGAGCATGAGACCAGCAATCCGATCAAGTCAAAATAAACACCACTGCTACCGAAACGTCAAGTGTTTAGCTTAAAGCAATATGTTCCACTGAGGAACGTCAAGGTATAACCAAAAAATATTGCCACCTAAGGCCTCCACGAATTTTAGGATGAGCCCTCTCCCGAACAAGTTTTACAATTGAGTTTAAAAGACGTGTAAACACCAATTTTATGTCCTATCTCTATAATATGCTTCTCAATACAGGCTCTAGGTCCCCTAATCTCAGCACTCATGGGTTCTGGTTATTCTATTTGTTTCTGAGGCAGTTCAGGGATGTGTGAAGCAAACCCTTACTCGCAGAGATTGAATCCTCCCTACGTATGTGCGTCCACATGAACATTTAAACTGGCAAATACAGTGAGATGTAACATCACTTTTTGCATGTTTTAAGGGTTTAGATAGATATATGGATGTATCCTAAAGTTCGTGATAGCCCTAGTAATTAGGAAATTTAAACCATGTTTATGCATTCAAAAACAATTCGTCATTACACTAAGCCTTCCTTGGTAAACTTCGTTTTGAAACCAACCAGGGTAGATGTACTATTACCTCTGTTATTCGGGTTAGTGAACTTGATTGTTATTTTAACTTTGCCCAAATAGTTTATTTTCTCACTTCTTAACTCTTTATTAATTTCATATATATTTCTATGACAAGTCCGTGATTAGATTGTTTGAAGTGTGTTGCACAAATGCATTTCAACACGATTCAAACAAATTATATCTTCTTATTGCTGTTTTAAATTTGTGAAAGTAGTCATTGTTTCGAATGCATATTTGTCGTTACAATTTTCACGTGTTTGTATGTGTATTAACCTTTAAACGGAATTGTATAGATGACAGTGTTTGTAGAGGAGTATTCCACTGTTAAATTCTTTCTTCTTCTACAGAAATTTATGAATACTTTAGATAAACTGAGCTTTTTTCTTTCACTCATCTGTTGCTTGTTTCAAGATTTACTCTGAGAAAGAAGAAATCATTCTTTCAACTTACACAATAGTTCAGATGATGCGCCAACTTGATAAACATAACCATGACGATTTTGTATCATTTTTCTCACTTTACGACCCATAGTTATCTAAAATAAAGAGAAAATAGTAATTATCGAATGATATTTGAGGTAATGAAATAATTATTCGGAAAATCCTCCGTGAACAATTCACTCTGTAATTATTATTCACCCTTCTTCTATGCTGTATATCATTGTCGTAACGTTTGCATATTATCTGTCTTTTTTCCTTGTGTAATCCATAGTTCGGACGACTGTCTCTTAGAGGTTATGTGGTGGTGTTAATAATGTGTCATTTAACAAGTGCGATTTTGTTCCAGTGGATTCCTTTGCCACAGGGATATTGATATTTGACTGTCTGTGAAAATTATTTGGCGAGTGATTCTTCCTGAGGCAGAGTTTTGATATCACCCTGTTGAAAATATTCTATTTGGTTCTCAGGTACTTCTTATGGCTACGCTTGGTTAAGTAATTTTATTCTACAATACTAGTTTTATACTGAAGAAACTGTTGACCTGTTTAGCTGCCTGACGGTATTGTTGGGGTAATTTTCAGTTTTAGAAATGTTATTAGTGTCGTAAATAACTTTACTTTTGCTATCCTCGGGACTTTGCATAACTCAAGGAGGTTTTTTTAAGTTATTCAGGAGGACGCGATGTTTGGTTTCCAGCATTCAAACCACAATGCTTTCATTCATTATAATAACACAGAGAGATATAGTGCCTTCTTTTCAAATTAATTTATATATCTACTGGAATCAATAAAGATTTATAATCAACTGTCAAAACTTCTGAATTGTTACTGACTGGAATTCTACAGTACTTCTAGTCAATCATTCACCATACATGGATTTATTTACAAAACAGGAAAATAAAAGACAAATTCAGTGAAGAAAATTTTCTTTATCGACGAAATCATCTTCAAAAGCTGTACAGTAGCATTTATATTTACCAAAAATTTAAAGTGGTCTATTATTGAGTAATGGGGTATGACATAATTAACATAATTACTCAGAAGTGGTTTTAGAAGTAAAAAAAATGAAAGTTTTAGATTACGAGGTACTCAACAGCACAAAGTTAGAAATTTCATAAGGTTGAAATTGTTATTGAGTGAGAATAAAGGTATCATTGATATAAGAATAGAACTTGATCACTTTGGTAGAGTTTAATTCCATTATGGGTAAATTTTCGTTTTGATAAAGTCTCACAGGATTATACAGTAATGTTTACTGATGAAGACGTTTCGAGCACAATTTATTGCTCATAATCATATCAAGGTAATCACACGACTTCCTAAATTCATTTATATAATACCATTATTTTCCATCGTGACGGACATACTGAAAAATGTATTTTTTAGAACTGATACTATTTCGCTGTACAGAAGTTGAACTGCTAAACTACCTACCTAGAAAGTTCTGCATTGACTGTGAAACTTTACGATCGGTACGCTGAACAAAACACCATTGTGACACGTAAAACAAATGCATCGTACCACTTTTATATTTTTAATCCGTCATTGATCTAATTTATATGCACTACATATTTTGGATAAATATACCGTATTCATTTGGATTACCATGATTTAAGTATTATATAATGTGGTCAGATACGTGAAAGTATGATAATCCCTTGAAAAAATAAGATACTTCTCCTTAGCTCAGTGTTTGATCACCTAACTGCTCAGAATGAGCTTATTTGACTTCAACAATAATCAGGAATTCGTATGAGTTACACAGCCATCAAATCCCACGAGGGTTTATTGAACAGCTGTTTCGTCTTGCTTTTGGGCTCTTCAGTGGCATACATCAATCAGGGTATGAACGCAGGACCTTCCAGTCGCAAGGCGAAATCGTAGAAGATGGAATTCATTTGCCCTTGCATTGGATCCTAATGGCTTGCCTTGTAACCAGAAGGTCCTCGGTCCTCGGGTGAATTTTCTAAACCAACCATCCAAATTTGAGTGATATTTAACGGCACACACATACAGTCGCACAGGGGAACACGGCCATACATGATTTCCTAAGTATTTGGTCCACGGAAAAATAATGTCAATTTAATATAACGTAGCATTTTAGTATAATGTATACGAAGTCCCATCAGTACGTCTACTTTTTCGATAATCTTAAGAAGAATCCACCCAATATGGATGAATAATAGAGCGATCGTCTCATTATTTAATCCACTTTAGCATGGTACTGCATACGATCTTTGTTGTGTATCGTTAAAACGCTCAATGATCTCTTCACTGTGTGTTCAGCACATCCATCTCTATTTTCTCCTGCATATTTATTGAACATTGTGTTTATGATCGATTCGTTTCCAAAGTTTCTTGCTGTTAATTCTTTCCAACCATTTGATCTTTAATATTCAGCCAGAGAAGGCAACTGTTGATGAATGTTTACAGTGGCCTTTTAGGAACGCATTCCGTGATGCAACACGTGTATGACCAATACAGAAGAACTGAATTAACATGGGTGTTGAAAATCCTATCTTTTTTCTTTATGCTTAGTGAGGTAGATTTCCGGGCATATTTTAGAGTGATGAAGGTTTGACTTGCCTTTTCGATCCTTGCAGGCTTTGATAGGCTTTGAAATTTTCATCGATGCCACCTGTAGTTGGAACGGTTCTGTCTAGATATATATATATGAGATGACCGCTTTTTTTAATTTCACCCACTGACAGTGATTGCTGTTTGTTTTGGTTGATTGGTTAGTCGGCAGGTTATCTTCAAAAAATGCGTCTTCTCTGCGTTAACTTGAATTCTCCTCTTCGCTGCTCCTTTCCACCTGTAAAATGTAGAGTTTATGTGACATTACAAACAAATCGTCTGTGCCGTCAAGATCTTCTGGGGTCAAACAGTCAAACGTATTCCAGTCTTCTCGTTCCCCACAGTGTGACATCCGATCTAGTCCACCACAAGCAGAAATGTTCTCGCTGATAGTAGACAGCCTTATCTTACTCCTGTTATCATTTCAGAGGCTTACCTGAGTTTTCCATTGTGGATAACATGGCATTGGTATTGTCATATAGCTGTTGAATGAGGTTTATAAAGATTTAGGCAATAGAAGGCCATAATTTTAATGAAGTTTCCAAATTATTTTGAGTTGAACTCTTTCAAAAATCTATATGATATTCAATACCATTACAAAGTATGATTCATTTAAAACTATCCTCCTCTCAATACCATCATCTTAACTCGTTTTAATATCATAATTATTGTTATTATCTTTACTATTATTATCGACAGTATTCAGTTTACAATTTTGATGTGGTTTTGTTCTCTGAGCTGGATAGTTAGTTTGCGAAGCTTTCATCACCTTACTGGGTGACATCTTCAGCGCATACTTCAAATTGAAGTGAGCTTTTAGGTTTCTCCACGAGTTTATTAATCATTCCTCCTGGTGACCTTGAACGTGATTGGTTGTTTATGTATGTTTTCACACCTTCTAGGTTACTTGTGTTGGAACTGATTGTTTCTGTGACTTGAACTTTGGCCAATCGTGTGTGAAGTTTCTTTCTTATTGGTTGATAAATTTTGTCTATCTCGATGTGTCTATTGATTGATGATTCACTGGAATGCCAAGCTTCTAGAGAAAATCAGAGACATCCAAATAGATGAACAAGAAATAATGGTATCCTTCGACGTGACAGCATTATATACCTCTATCGGACAAAAACTAGCAAAAGAAACCATGGAGCAATTACTTAGCAACGACGAACAACTTCCACAACAATCAAAAATGCAACACACAAGCTGGATGGAATGCATAAATCTATGCCTAACAACATACTTCCAATTCAACGGCCAAATATATGAACAAGTCAAAGGAACACCCATGGGATCGCCAATATCAGGTTTGATTGCAGAAGCAGTGATGCAAAGACTCGAAAACATAATTCTACCAAAGATCAAACCCAAGATTTGGATACGCTACGTCGACGACACATTTGTAATAATCAAAAGAAACGAATTAGACAAAACTCACAACTTAATAAACAACGTCTTCAACGACATCAAATTCACAAGAGAAGAGGAATCCGAGAACAAAATACCATTTTTGGACGTCTTAGTCAGGCGAACAACTACAGGAGAATTAGAAACTCAAGTTTATAGGAAATCAACTCACACAGACCAAATACTGAATTACAACAGCAACAACCCAATAGCACACAAAAGGAACTGCATACAAACACTATTCAAGAGAGCAAGGACTCACTGCAGCACTCCCACCTTAAGAAAAATTGAAGAAAAGTATCTCATGGACGTCTTCCAAAAGAATGGATATCCCCGGAATTTCATCAAGAGACATATACCCCCAAGCCAACCTACCAAAACAAAAGCCACCAAGGAAAACACAAAGAAAATCGCCTTACCATATATAAAGGATATCTCAGAAATCACTAAAAGACTCTTCAAACCTTTAGGAATTGACGTCGTACACAAACCAACAAAGTCGCTGCACTCAATTCTATGTCAACCAAAAGACTCAACAGCAAAAGAAGACAAAACCAACATCATCTACAAAATAAACTGTAACAACTGTGAAAAACACTACATTGGCCAAAGTGGACGTCCCCTTCGTCTTCGTATCCACGAACATAAGCTAGCCGTCAAAAGACATGATATACACTCCCTCATTTCACTACACACAGACAACCACGGACATCAATTCGACTGGGACAACGTTCAAATATTAGACAAAGGAAATAACAAGAATGCTAGAGAATTTTTAGAAGCTTGGCATTCCAGTGAATCATCAATCAATAGACACATCGAGATAGACAAAATTTATCAACCAATAAGAAAGAAACTTCACACACGATTGGCCAAAGTTCAAGTCACAGAAACAATCAGTTCCAACACAAGTAACCTAGAAGGTGTGAAAACATACATAAACAACCAATCACGTCCAAGGTCACCAGGAGGAATGATTAATAAACTCGTGGAGAAACCTAAAAGCTCACTTCAATTTGAAGTATGCGCTGAAGATGTCACCCAGTAAGGTGATGAAAGCTTCGCAAACTAACTATCCAGCTCAGAGAACAAAACCACATCAAAATTATCCACCTGAGCTACAAATCTTCTCTATCATATCTAAATTCAGTTTACAATTCTTTGATATATTCAAGTTGTTCCTCTGATAACTGACTGCTTATTACTATGATGTATTCAGCTGTAGCTTAATGGATTATTATCTCAATTTCAGTCTCTCAAACCTCCTTCAGTTTATCTTTCTGAGCAAGACCTGAGAAACATACACATATGTCGCTCTGAGTGATCGATTCGATCCACTTCATTTATATGGCAGTTTGTCAACTCTTCCACCTTACCTAGTCTTCCTTACAATTCACCCTTATTCTTTCCTGAATTGCTTAAAAAAGAATTCTGAAGACTCTTAGTAGGGCGAGTGCTATCCCTTCGGGCCATATCACTGACATCGTCAATGATAAGCACTTGATTTCATGCAGCAAATTTGCTAAAGGAATTTTTGAATATCCACTTTATCCGCAGCTTTCACTTTATGTCTCCTTAAGTAAAACAAGAAGTCATTTCAGAAGACTTTTTTATGCGTGCATATTTGAGTATAAGGATTCCACGATATCATAGTTGGTATGTATTTCATGTGATCGAAATAATGTTAGGCAGAAACTAACTAACTAACTAACTAACCTTATTTCCACTAGTAAATAAACAATTTTCTCCACCCTTACAATATCAATCTTTCCTGTTATTATTATTCTTATATTTTTATTCTTCTCATTTTTTTCTTTATTTTTTCATTAGTATAAACATCATTTAACCTCTGTAATATGCGTTGGTGGCCCAGTGATAGAATGCTTGCCAACTGTACATGTGGTCCGGCGTCCGACCCTCTACCAACGCACTCCTTTGCCTAGCTAAACCGGTAATAAGACTGGTAAAGAGTGAAAGTTGGGCAGGAGGCTAACAACCCCATACTGTAAAAAATAAGCACCACTGCTAGTGAAACTTAAGGCTCCTAACTTGAAACCCCATGTTCCACTGGGAACATAGAGGAATACTGAAGGTCTCTGTAATAACTGTTCCTTTTTTGTTTTCCCCTTCATCCTGCTATGTCAAGAGAACATTAGATTCAATACTATACAATATGCCAGAATTCCCAGACTGTATTGATAATGCTGTTTGAAACAAACTCACTGTTATTATTATCATATTTATTATTCTCACTTTGTACTTTTCGACATTTTTTTTACTGTAAATGTTGACAAATTCCTTTGATTAATTTTATTTATATTTTAAGTAAATTAGATGTAATACTGTGACAAATGATGGGGATTCCATGCTGTTCTATTGTAACGACAGAAGACAAGGGTGGGGTAACAGATCGTTTTTGAGAAAATGAGGAGGTATTTATATATTTTTATGTGTATTATCATTAGCATTATGGTTATCAGACAAGCCTGTCTGTCTGTCTGTCTGGATTCAACATAGAACCGAAGTGCACCAGTTCGAGTTGCCACGTTCCAAATAGCACACAAAGGTAGACAAGAAGGTGAGTGGAGAGAATCAATACAGTCTGACAAGTATAGAGTGAAACAGAATGAGTAATGGTAGAAAGGAATATGAAAGATTACAGAGACTGAATACATCTGCGCCATTGACAACGATTTTGAGCCATGTCACCTATTGTCTCCAGCCATTGATTCCCAGAGTCCCGAGGGCCCCAACCCGGGAGTCTGCATCTCCCTACCTGACTCAGTTTAACTGTCAAGGATTTCATGAATTGATGAGGCCATGTTTTTGTTTGGCCACCACTGGCTCTTTTCCAACCTACACCTATATCAGCTAGCTAGTAATGCCCGTCGGGGGAGGCGATGGTTAGGCATGCGCAGCACGTGACCTAGCCATCACAATCTATGTAACTTTATAGCCTCGTCGATTGATTTTCCCTCTTTTCCGAACACTCTGCGCCTAACGTCAACATTATTTACCTTATTATACCACCTAACGTGAGAAAGAGATCGTAGACATCTATGATCAAAAACGGTCAACCTTTTCATGTCTACAACTCGTATTGGCCATGTTTCAGAACCATAGTAGCAAAGAAGCAACCTCTTCTGAATTATTATTTTCTCTCAGAAGGTTATTCTGTATTGCATGTGACCGTTTCTTAGAAAGTTAAGCCATATATCTGCGAATCATATTTCCACACTTTAACCGCGTTGTGATTGACTGCTGATTTTCTCAAGGTTAAGCTTTTTTACTATTTTTTCTCATAACCCCAATTCGGGAGGTGAATATTGACATAAATTGTTCTCTACGATTTTGGCTTATAGACAGCTCTCACCACAGTATAAGTACTGTTTTTCGAATAATACATATTATTATTGTATTCAATGTATTCCTAATGATATATACATATATATCCCTGTATTCAGAGTATTCGGCTGAAGAGTCCTACTAAAATTCGATGAATTCATGAAGTCCTGCTTTATTTATTGAGGTTTTGTTGGTTGTTTTAGGCAACATAAAGATCTTTATACGAATATTTCACGTTAATGTATCATTTAGTCCAATAAAACAAACGAAATGAAACTTTTAAACATTAGTAATATATAATAAAAATGAACAATAACTCACCAATTTTTCATAATGCGGTGGAAAACTGTACCGTGAAAAACCGAATGGAGTTAGAATGTACTGACCAAATGAATGTAGACTAAGGTATAAAACAACATTTTTATGCAGAGCATTCAATTTGCCAATAAGACTTTGAGTTTCCAACTCTGAGGCGGCTTCACTTCCTCTGTAGGTTTCACTGCACGCATGTGGTGATGCGCCATTTCCAACTAGTTTGCGTTTTGTTTAAAATTGAGAAAATGCTACATTAAATATGATAATTTATCTCAGGTGAAGTAAAAAGAGAAGCTTTATAAATTAAGTGGATGCTTTTCATGCTGCTGTGCTGTGTATAAACAGGCTGATCTAATTTTATATTCCCTGAATTGTGTCCATAACGGAACAACATGGCTAGCAGTTTGATTTCTTAATGTTTTTCACTACTCGTGATATTGCCTTCAAGGGGTGGAATTGACACTCACATTCTCAGCTTCCGCTCTTTTCCAGACCTACTTTTGAATAGTCAACTGGGTGAGGTTTAGGAATGCGTCTACTGGGAGTCGAACATCGCACCACATCCGGCATGGTTCTTTCTAATGCCCAACTTGTAGCTTCTCATTCAGGTTATACTTGAGAGTCTGTTACTCCGGTGATCTTCTCAGTGTATGTCTAATCCATCACCGTTTCTTTCTTCGCATTCATCAGACAATAAACTATCGAGCGGTTGATTGGTAGAGTTGCTTGTTGTTTATTCTACCCTGCAAGCCATACGACCTTCAGTATAGAGCCAGAGAAGACAACTGGTAATAAAAGTCTGCTGCCTTTCGTAAAGTATCTAGTCTCTAAACCCAGAAAGAATCACCTACCTGACATAAGTTTTCAATAAAATAAGCGACAGAATTACGATTCAGAATTTTACTAATCAATCTTCACTTCAAATACACAAGAGTTATTCCTTCAGATATTGATCCTCAGAGGATGTCTACTGAATAATGAGCGTTGCTTGTTGCTACATGCATACAGCTATTATTTTATGTTGTTGGTTTCTGTAAAAACGATCCTCCACAAAGAAAATGACTATCTGGAGGCATACTGGTGTTCTAGAAAAAGTCAAGACCTAATATGTCGACAAACTGCTCATCGGATAGTAAGTGATGTATTTCACTATATTGCTAACCCTGTAGAAAGTCTTTTAATCAGACTTATAATGTAGCCTCTATTTTAGATGACATAAAACAAATACCAGTAGGCATACTAACCCAAGCACAGAGTAAGAGTTATATCACCTGTCCATCGTCTGCCTGCTGGAAGTATATTTAGGCCAAAGAGAAGTATTTAATGATAACTCATAAGAAGTGTGAAACCATTTTTTCTCACTCAGCACAGCTTTGCATCACTGATAATGAGTTCATCCCTGCAGTAAGTTAGACGGCAAAGTTAAACTTTAGACACCACTAACAACCAATCAGCAAACGACCTCGAACGGACCAGTCACATTAAAGAGGCATATATGATGAATGGAAATGTATATTTGTAGAAAAAAGCATGAAATAGAGAATAAAAAAGTTACATGGGATATCTTTCTCGAACATGTGAGAGAAAAATCTCCCAGTTTAGCATGAGACTGTCAATGGAGAAGTTACACCATATCCTGTACATATATTCATCCAAATGACTATAAATGAGATCCTTTTGAGATATATTTATAGCCCTTATCCTATTTTCCAACTTGCCCCAAAATCCTTCAACAGAATTTGTATGTGTCCTCGTAACGGGATCCACAAAATCACTTAAATGGTTGACTCGATGATGAATATATCTCAGAGATGACAGTGAATTGTAGCCTTTCCACTCGTCGGTGTGTATAATTGACCCCCACTTAACAAGTCTGGTAATAATAGGTATAAGAGTAGTTGCTTTTCTATCTGCTATCCTTAGGGAGAGAAGCGACCTAGCGAAAAAAGTTCCTACGAAATATTAAAATTATCAGCTTACCCTCTCTAGCGTTAGTAGGCTTCAAACATATAGCACAACGATGAACAAACCCATCAGTTGATTTGGTATAGCTTTTTAAAGTCATGATACCACCACACAAACAAATTCGCTCTTTCCGGAGCAACTCAAATCCAGGAAATACTGGAAAACGCTAACCTCCTCGAATTGCAACAATAGCCTTGTAAGGTCACGCATTAGAAATGAATCAGGTGCTATACAACATTGAACTGCGTTCGTGAACCTCATTGGATAATTCGACATCGTTCGTGAATCTCATTGGATAATTCGCTGATTGGTAGTTAGTGGTGTCGAAAGTTTAACTTCGCCAGTTAGTAGACACTTCTTAATTGAAATGAATCTCTGATGTAGCTTCTTGGAGCTTTAATCACTTTTGTTTGAAATGTATGTACCATTCTACTGGTACTAACTGCTGATGAAATCTTAACATGGATACAAAAGACTCCTATGGGATTTACCAACTTACGCCATCTCTGATTTAGTAGACCTAATATCCAGATGGCTATCGATCAACGGAGTGATGGACAGCTGTTTCGTCAGTACGCGACAAAGAGATTGGAAAGAAGGAAAGATGCCTACTGATTGGAAGCAAGTCTGCCTCTTTTTAGAATGTCAACTAGGCCCTTCCTTATTGTTCAGAAACGTGTGCCACATGTCACAAAAAGGATCCCCAACAAGCTACATAGTTTTATCAACAGCTGACCACTTCGCTGACTCCGTATTTAAGATCAAGTCGCTGGAAAGAATTAGAGACAAAAAACTCTCGCTGGAAACAAACCAACTAAGGGCCGATCGCTAAACAAACATGCGGAAGAAAATAGAGATGGATCGGTTGAGCATACATTGAGGAGGCAATCGAATGACATCATACGCAGTGAGGGCTGTCGCTCGAGTGGAATCCCAATGGAAAATGACGAGTGAGTCATCACATCGAGGGTGATATTGAGGCGATCGTGTGGCGAGGAGAAGTTGAGAGATTATGGATAATCGTGGAGAAAGCCAGCTAAAGAGGATGGTAGAAAATAGTAGAAAGTAAAGATGTGTTGTTGAGGACCCATGTTCCACTCGGAACTCAATGGAATAATAATGTTAATAATTAATCGATCAGATGACGTGCGTACTTTACAGCAGCACTTCCTCCAAACCTCCTCCTCTGTGTCTAGCTAGGAGACACTGACATTAAGAGACAAATATATGAAAAGGTTGACTAGCTGTCTCTAACCATAGATTTCCGTGCTGTCTCCCCGATGTTCGGTGTTATAATATGGTGAGTATTATTAAGTTTAGATGTAGAGGATTATGTAAGTAGGAGAGGTCAGTCGATGATACTGAACAAGGAAATCTGAGCTATTGCCTTCCTCGAGGGTTAATGTTAGCTAACACAGAGTTAACCGTGGTGGAAACAAAAGTTTCGACTTCCTGGAAGGAGTCCTCAGGATTCTAAGAACCAGTGACTGGAAAAATTTGGTGATACTGTTCAAAAATGCTTTCAGTGCTGTCACTTTTTTGATCCTTCATATCCTGAAGTGGAGTAACTTGAAACGGCTTACTTCTATGGAAAGTTACATGCTGAAACCAGTTAGTCAATTCCACTCTGTGCAGAAACTAAACACCAGTTACATTGGACTTATAATTCCACTTAACTGTTTTCTGTTTTTACAAAGTATTAATATATAAAATAAAAAACATTGGAAGAAAATGAAACAGAACCTACCACCCCATTTGAAAGGAAAATTTCTGTTCAAGTCAATTCCAATGCATACTTCACCTTCTGTTTGTGCTCGATTTTTTCGCCACATTCGATACTGAAATGAAAAGAAAATCTTGTGTACAAATCTTCTAATGAAGTGTATTTTTGATAGGCTTTCATACCGACAGGAAACACATATCAGTAAGCCATTTTTAAGTCTCATAGTCTAAAATTCATGAAGTAATTGTAGAACGATATGAATCTAACCGGATATGCTAACCTTAACGATTCCAGGATTAAAACCTTTACTTGAAAGCAGAATATTTCTCTTGCCTCTGTTTTTATTCTATTCACAATTCAACACTCTGAGAAGAGTTCTCGTCAAAAATGGCTTTCCTGATCGCCTCTTCATCACAGAATTCATGAGGCTTAAACCACTTAAATCACTGACACTTTTTGCTCTGAAAAAAGACTTTCCTATCTGAATCTGCATTGAATTAGAGACTGATTGGGGGATATACAGAGAAGAATTACCTTATTTGCATTTGAATTTTGACTTACTTTCTACACAAAACTAGCGATTCGCATACACATGAAGGATAAACTCCCACTATTGGAGTTATCACTGCTCCTTTGGAACTAGTTATGTTGGGCTGTACTCAGCGTTCGCTAACCAAATGTATCATTTAACCCTTATACACTCATGATTTTATAAAAGGATGGAAAAAAATTCTGTCAGAGCTGAATCCTGGAAAATCTGATCAAATATGAACATCGGGCAAACCTGTAAAGCAACTTTAAAGTCATCTACAGAATACACAGAAATCTTAATAAATGATTACGAATTAAACAAACCTACAATGGATCTAATCTGTCTACCTCGTGCATCTACCGATTTTCCGAAGTTTATCTGTCTTTCTTATTTCACTTTATAGACAGCCTACTTGGATAGGGCAGTATTAAAATTTTTACAGCTTCTGTCTACCACAGTATTACAGAGGATAGGTGAAATTCTCATTCAAGAGATTTCATTGTATTTCTATGGCTGGTTTTATGCAGGATGTAAAATTAATACTGATGGATACTTTTGTTGAAAACGGATATCCTTTAAAATTTTAAACCTGTGTGGAAGTCAGTTAGTTTTAAAACCTACAACCTAATCTGTCCTTAAGAAAGATGTCTTCATCAAATTACCATGCAACGGGGAAATAAATAGTAGGATTTTGAGACAGAGAGTAAACTCGGTCATCTGTATGATGTATTATGCAGCCCAGCCTGTAATCATTGAAAAATCCACAAATGGGCTCCATCACAAGCCTCAAAAGTGCACAAATGATTATGTAGATCGCTAAATATATAATTATTTACGTGTGTGTATGTGTGTAGACACATGCATAAGGAGGAGTAATCGCGCTTTGCCTATGAAGGCGTAAGAGCATACTCCGAAATGGTTACAAAGGCAGATAAACTTTGTAAAATTGATACACGCAGGAGGCCCACTATCAACTTCGTCCACCGTCAAATATCTTATCGATATGAGCCACAGGATTGATGCCGAAACACCTTATAAGGATCATCTATAAAAAAGGTCAAGAGCGCTTACTGAAATACGCTGAGGCTATAGCTACTCATAAATTTAAGCCACCTCCGTGTGTGTTCGAAAATAATTTGTTATTACTCTTAACCTACCTTACTAATCTTTATCTGATTAGACAAACAAATGTAGTGTTAATTATTCTTAATATTTTTATTCATAAATCCTTTTAGTCAAATAAAGTATAATTATATCTAAATAGTTTACACAATGGTAAGTTTTGTTATTTGGTAATATTTAGAGCGAAATTACTACTGCCCGTTTTCACACCACTGTTGGAACTGTTTTCATTCACACATTTGCACTCAATTATATACCAGTATGGTGCAACAGGTCGGGTGTGAGAACAAATACTCGCCAAAGACATTGCCTAGGGGTCGCGCTATGTCGTGAATTGGCAGAAGTTAGAATTCATGCACTGGCCATTGGATCGGGTCCCAATGGCTTAATGCTATATGAGCTTGCCTTGTAGCCAGGAGGTCCTGGGTTCGAATCCCGGTGGGTGCGTACTTCTGAAGGGTCCCAAATTAGGACGAAACAGCTGTCCAGTACTCCCAGGTTTTTCAATGGTTCTCTAACTAATGTCGGCTCACGATGAAATCCTGTAAACCAATCAAATCCCTACAAACCAACACTTGAATACTCATATATATGGTTCATTTTTTGTTCATTCATTTTTGTGTATTCAGAATTATACTCCAAGCTGTTGACAGTTGTACTGAGTTACCCTTGTTACATGTATCCGGTGTGACTTTAATGAATACAGATTCTGTTATAAGTCTCTCTTTCCATTTGTTCATATAAGTTTATATTTAGAATACAAACATTGTCCCAATCATGTGCACCTATGGATGAATATTTTTCAAGATTCTTGTAAGCTTGTGTTACTATTGGCTGACCTTTAGTTAAGCGTTTATGTTCCATTCACTCTTATTTTGAGTGATCTGGACGTATGACCCATATATTTAGTCGGACACTCGGCACTAGGTATTTTGTAATTCAAATTGTTTTTATTCATCATTTTTATAGGATTTTTCAGTTGATTTATTTTATTTTTAATTAAATTCGCCGGTTTAAACGTTGTACAAATCCCAATATTTTTGAGGTTTCTTTGAATTGCCTCTAATGTACCATTTTTATACGGTATTGCGACTGTTTTTTTTCCATTCTTCCATCTTGTTATTCTCCGGTTTTACCCTCCTTTTGCTCTTTTTTATATTACCTCTGATAAATTCTTTTGGGCAGTGGTTTTCGAGTCACATTTCGAATAGGAAGTTTATTTCTTCACGCTGGTCATCTGGTGTTGTTGTAAGTTTGCGTAATCTATCTGCAAGACCTTGTATTAATCCTCGTTTCATCATTAGTGGATGAGGTGAGTGACAATCAAGGGATCTTCCAGAGTGTGTAGTTTTTCTGTATAGCGTCATTTTATGCTACTATCTGTTACTCTTTGGAATTTGCAGTTTAACTTAGGCAGTTCCAACAGTGGTTTGAAGACGGGCAGTAGTAATTTTGCTCGAAATATTACAGAAACTTATCCTTGTGTATAAACCATTGAAATATAATTATGTTTTATTAGATCTATTCCACAATGCTCAAACGTTTTACTGACATTAATCCTTTCAGTCACTTTGTGTACTTTAATTGGCCTTTATTTTTTGTATGTAAATTTTGATATTGTTGGATCTTTTGATTGCATAATTTCCTTCCCTCACCCCTAATGAAATTCCTGGCCCTTATTATCACAGTTGCTAATTTGACTCTCATTCAATTTTCACTTGAATGCTACTCAAAACAGTAAACTATAGGATACCATTCAATTCAGTTATTTAGCTTTATTTCACTCTCTGCCCGATGAACGCCCTCTATGTTACGTAATTGGCTGCCTAAAATCAACCATTCTAACGACACATCTTTTGCTGCTAAGATAATTTACTGTATTCATGTATGCAGTTGTACAGCTTGAAAATGGCATCTCTGACCACATTGCAAACTTGACTGATAGAATTCAGTCTGAATCAAAGACTAGTGTCGAATCGAAAATATCTAGTAAAGTCCTATAAGAGGTTAATCACGAGGCCACAAAGCCCACTGGTAACGTCTCTGACTGTAGCACTCATTGAGTGACACGGGTTCGAATCTCAGAAAGGACATGAGTTCCTTCAGGGTTGCAGATACGCCTTGCTGACTGGTGTGTGCCAACTAGCTTGAAACCCAGGTGGTGTTCAACGCTCCCAGCTAATTGCCTCCAACCATCTTGTACCACAAATTCCCAGTGCACCGTGATGGCAGGCCACCTAGCTGCACGGTGTCCACACTGGAAACTTAACTGATGGAATTCAATCTCCGCCAAACAAAGGATTAGATAAAGTTCCACAGGTACCGCCTAGTGTCTAATCAACAATAGAGTAACTCTTCAAAGGAAATTTTTTCTTTTATAAACCAAAATTAGTAGTTACTACAATTTACAACCTGCTTTTCTTTCTGTCTTTCTAAGATGATAATAAATTTAAAGGCTTTATTAATACTCTATAAGACTGTTCAATTTTTACTATTATCCTAGCTTCTAATGTTGTCGGTGTTACATTGATACTTGCATATATCTAACTGCTTTCATCACAAATCGAATCGAATAAGTTTATTACCGAACTGTTCTACAGATAGCAAGATTGATTTAAGGTTGATCGTGTTTATTATTCAGATTATAGGATTCATGAAGAACGTAGACTAGCCTCAATCGCTGGATTCTCGTCATGAACCAACTTCAGTTAGAAAGATGATTAATTGTCGCCAAGGAGGAGTGGATACAACTATTTCATCTTATTTTGAGAATTTCTCAGCATTTTCCTTCCACGACCGCATCAGAGATAGAACCTTAGACCTTCATGTTGCGAGAAAAAGTTTGTCGACGGTTCAGACATTTGGCCTCGAGGTAGTGACTAAAGTCTAATATTTGGAATTACTCCGAATTCCCTACATATTCCACAATCTCAATATACGTCACTAGCTCATTAACCTCTCCTGGGCAGATGTCCTGAAACTGTAGTGAGAGGTCGGGACAAGCTGGGATCTTGCATCATATCAAGATGACATGGACACTCATCGAAGGTATTAGTGAGCACATAACAATAACAAGCTTGAGTTCACAAAGTTAGAATTCACGGTTCACTGGATTTCAGCACAAGTAGCTGAAAGGTTGCGGGGCAGTGAATGGGGACTGCTTGTGGGTCCGAAGACAGGAAGAAATAGTAGTATCTAATGCTCCCTCGTTTTGAGTGATTTTTCTAAATTATGTTAGTTTGTGACAAAATCCTAACAATTAAAATTGTTCGTGTTTATTTAGGATCAATGAAGTCAAGCAGAATGACAATCACCTGATAGTGACATTCGATAATGGTTCCTATTAGATCAAAGATAGCTAGGAGTTTACAATATAGACAACAGATAAAATTCCAGTAACTAAATATCTACAAAATTACGTTTCTATTTACTAACTTTCAAATAACTCCATCATGGATAAGATTTTATTTTGATAAATTGCACAGTGTTGTACAGTAATATATTATTACTAATATTACTGTGCATCATTTTGTGATTTATCAAAATACGATCTTATCCATAATGGAGTTATACTCTACCATAGTGCCCAAGTTAAATATCTATGTCAATAACTTTCAAATAAACCATACCATATAGTGTTAAACAGATTCCAACAAACACCTTGAATAAATAATATAATTAATAATCCAATCATGCATCTGTTTCTTGAGTCAATGTATCCTGAGTCTCCTCTTGCACACTATAGCTTAAACAATTAAGCACATTCACAGGGCAGTACATACACTTCCTTCGTTACATGCCTAACAAATATAAAGAAATGTTGTTGGAGATCAATTAGAAAAGGAATTTGGGCGATGTTAAACTTTCGACACCACTAACTACCAATCAGCGAACTATCCGATGAGATTCACGAACGATGTCGAATTATCCAATGAGGTTCACGAACGCAGTTCAATGTTGTATAGCGCTTGTTTCATTTCTAATGCGTGACCTTACAAGGCTATTGTTGCAATTCGAGGAGGTTAGCGTTTTCCAGTATTTCCTGGATTTGAATTGCGCCGGAAAGAGCGAATTTGTTTGTGTGGTGGTATCATGACTTTAAAAAGCTATACCAAATCAACTGATGGGTTTGTTCATCGTTGTGCTATATGTTTGAAGCCTACTAACGCTAGAGAGGGTAAGCTGATAATTTTAATATTTCGTAGGAACTTTTTTCGCTAGGTCGCTTCTCTCCCTAAGGATAGCAGATAGAAAAGCAACTACTCTTATACCTATTATTACCAGACTTGTTAAGTGGGGGTCAATTATACACACCGACGAGTGGAAAGGCTACAATTCACTGTCATCTCTGGGATATATTCATCATAGAGTCAACCATTTAAGTGATTTTGTGGATCCCGTTACGAGGACACATACAAATTCTATTGAAGGATTTTGGGGCAAGTTGGAAAATAGGATAAGGGCTATAAGTATATCTCAAAAGGATCTCATTTATAGTCATTTGGATGAATATATGTACAGGATATGGTGTAACTTCTCCATTGACAGTCCCATGCTAAACTGGGAGATGTTTCTCTCACATGTTCGAGAAAGATATCCCATGTAACTTTTTTATTCTCTATTTCATGCTTTTTTCTACAAATATACATTTCCATTCATCATATATGCCTCTTTAATGTGATTGGTCCGTTCGAGGTCGTTTGCTGATTGGTTGTTAGTGGTGTCTAAAGTTTAACTTTGCCGGAATTTGAATATATTCACGATTCCTCCTTGCCGGAGTTGGGCTATCCAAATAGTTTCATAAAGAAACATATGAAAATATTGAGGAGGGGATAAACCTGAGACCATGATTACACGCCAAAAAAACCTCTGTTTATTAAATTACAAATTAATAATGACTTTTCAAGTGAGATTTTATTATATTGACTTTCCAGGAGTATACGAAGAAAGTTTTACGCGGCATGCGTATGTCTGTCTTCCCCATAGCCAACGAATGATTTGGACTCAAAAGAAGGATAGCCTACATCTACGTGAATTTATCAATTCAAATAAATTTGCGGAGATAGTTATGTTGGGCACACTACTACTAGACAGTTTAGCCAACGTGTTACTTAATATATCCCATCATGTTGGTCTGGTAAAAGACAGACAAAAACGTTCCGTAACTGTATTTTGTCACATTTAGTTTATAGTGGCTATGTAGGGCATAAAACAAAAGCATTTAAGGTAATCCATTGTGTTCCACCGAATCTTTCTAATAGACTTCGTATTCATCTACTGTACACAGTTAAGGCAATAGGCATTCGAATTATTAAACCTAAACTATACATTCAATAGAAGTTCGTACAGCGATTTTCCCTTTCTTGGCTTATAAAGACATAACCAACTGATAACTTCTACACCGTCCATGACTTATATTTTCAACTCCTCGCTTATCATCCCTTAATCTTATCACATCTTCATTAAAAACGTATTTTATTTACTTCTCTTACAATTTGTCTGTCTGGTGGCGTGGCTTTAGGAGACTATCGGTGGTGGTTTTTTGGCTTCCGTCGTTTTTAGTGGACACAGAGTGAAGAGGGAGTGAGGAGTCATCAAGTAGAGGAGTTGCATCAGTGGAAGGAAGGCAAGGTAATAGAGATGAAGATGAAGACAAAGATAAGTGAGGATTAGAGAGGTTTTGTGTACATTTCGGATTGTGAGGGCGTTTGTTACTTCTCGGCTGCCCACACCGTGGAAGTTGGTTGCGTGACCGCAGAGCCCAGGGGACAACTGCTTGAGGCCGGTCACACGCGGCCTGTTTTTGTTTGTTCTCTTTTGTTTGGTGTGCCTCAGTAGCATACTTATCACTCCCGCCCTGTGACACGGCAGCAGGAAGCGCGGTCGTTGTTAATCCGGGCCACGGCCGATCTGGCATGAAATTTTGTGAATTTGTTTGAATCATGGTATTGGATGGGGTAGCTGCTTTTTGTTTAACCGCTATCCAAACAACCTGCCTGGCATGGTAGAACCTCAAGAGACATAAGTCTCAGCCAGTATAGCTTGATTAGGTCATTGCGGTGTTCAAGCCCGACCATCACGTCAAGGTAGCAACTTTCGGTCTTACAATTTAGAATTACTTAATCCGTCCAATTGTTTTGCTTAGCCTTTATCGACTACTTCTACCTGAACACTTGTTTGTTTAATCATGCTATTTTTCATTATTCAGGTTAACACAGATTGCTTCACTTGTTCATCCTTATTATTCATAGAACCACTGTTATTATTCCCATTACTAGTATTAAGACTCATTGTACAATTTATATGCACAGTCTTATTATCCTATAGACAAAACACCATGATTGGTTTATATTTGAATTTCTATTTGTAAAGTTATGTATATTAGAGTTAAGCCTGATGAAATCTAATTGAAACCACAATACTGTTCGCTTAAATGCGTTGTTCTCATTTAAGTAGTGTTACCGGCCTACAAAAAATAAACGAGGCTCCTTGCATGGTACCATGAGGAAACTATCTAGAGCTTTTACTATTACAATAATAACAGCTAACTTAATTTAGAGACATGCATTAAATGACAATCCGCATCAAAAACAAAATTCCTTTAAAAATTCCATTTAAAGAGGCTTAATTTTTTTTATTCTTTTACGTTCCCAGTGGAACACAGGGTTTCAAGCCAGAGTCCTGAAGCTTCCGTAGCAGTGAAGTTTACTTTTATGAGATGGGGTTGCTAGCCTGAAGCCTAACTTTCCTTCTTCACCAGCATTATTACTATCTTAGCGAGGTAATGGACTGAGTCGGCCGGGGATCGAACCCTGGACCACATAGGACATAGTCGACGAGTATTCCACCTCTGGGTTACCGGCGCGAAATCAGTCCTTATTAAGATTTCACATCTTTGAGCATAAGATATCAAATGTTTAGTGAATGTCTTCAGCTGTCACTTTTCATATAAGCTTTATTTTCAGGTAAGTAGTACTTCATTTTATGCCAAGCGCCCAAGTGATGAGCCAATAGTGGTTACCTTCTTCTACAAATTTTAGAATTCCTAAAACTCTACGACAGTTATTCAATAGAGTTAAAAAGACGTGAGTGTTTGCAACCTACCTTCGTTCGTGTATATTCATAACCGTCTGGATTTATTACTGGAACAATGTAGAATTGGAATCTCTTCAGTAGTGTTTGTCCCGATGGTCGCATCAGCTAAAATATGTGAAAACGTATGTAAAAGAACAATTCCTCCACATATTACTGATATGTATTACAAATTAGTATTATTGTTATGACAAGGGAACGGCTGATTGCATTCCTTGGATTCATATTCTCTGTTTGTCTTATAATAACCTTAGGAATACCGGAATGACTAAATACTTTACCGATAAATCAAATCATTTGTGTTACACCAACAGGGTATCATTTATCAAGTCACACCATTTTATCAGCATCGGTTGTTTGGCGGTAGACTCCTCGCCAACCATGTATGTGGTTCGGGGTTCGACTCCCAGCCGCCTTACACCTTTCTACCTTCCTTAGCCAGTTGCAAGCATGACAAAAATAAAAAATGTTAGGATTGGGGATGCAAGCCTATACCGCAAGACCATCACTGCTCCTGAAACTTCAAAGCTCTAGCTTGAAGCCTTATGTTCCACTTGGAACGAAAAAGGAATTAAATAATAGGCGATAATACTGTGTTACCATGGAGCCTCACTTCAGACTTTATATGAGCTTGTTTTCCATTGACTAACTGTGGAATATCATAATGACGTAAAAGTTAAAAACCAGGTCATAAACAGTAAAACTGAATACAGTCATAAGCCAGTCTAAAAGAAGAAACAACTGCAATGCGTCACCAGGAAAAATGAGTGTTCAATCAACTCTCATCTATCAATGATACCAGTTAGATAACCACTGGAAACCAAAGGGTGCTGAACAGATGTAAAAATTAGATTTCACAGGCCATTATCAAAGGTCCAAGTAGCTGAATGGTCTACGAACTTGCCTTGTAAGTGGAAACTCAGTAGGTGCGTGTCGGTGGACAGTCCCAAACTAGGATGAAACAAGTGTCTGTTACTCCCTGGTTTTCAGTGGTTCTTCAGCTGATATTATTCCGTTATCAAACTTGAAACAAATTACACCCTTACAAACTAACTCATGAAGTAGTACATCCATCAGAAACTAACAAATCTGACTTCACCCTGAAGTCACTCATAAATATGCTGTCCAGATGGCTAACTAAAGCTTTTCAATGAAATCGCCTAGTTCATAGAACACATAACAACACTAAAATCCTCTTAAAATACTTAACAGGAAGAACAACATAAGTCTGCTTCGGTTTGCTAAAGTTAGTGCAAAAAAAACTATTGAAATCTAATCTGTGTGTACTTAAGGAGTCTGTCGTGTGACTTCAGTTACCTCGGTAACTCTCTGGTCAGTAACTCTTTGTCTCCTAATTTTATCACTGTGTTTCAGCCCCTAACACCCTCACTTTCTTCCAGACTTTCATATAGGGTTAATATTTTGGTTCCTTTGTGGTGAGAGCAGGCTGCTAGCCGATTGGTTGGCACTAATCTACGTTAAGGTCTAGGTCACTAATATGGGCCGTGAGAAAATATGAACAAGGCTGAGTCAACAACCAATCACAGCAAAGTTAACGTGGCAAAATATGATTCGCAGATAGAGAACTCTATTTGTCAAGGAATCCCGAAACAACCAATCAGAAGCCTGCGTTTGTCTACCTAACTTCTGATAAACAACCAATCAGATGACTGCGCTTGTCTATAATAATGTAGTTGAAATATGTATAAATACGTGTTGATTTTCATAATAAAAGGATCTGTTGCCTGGCCCTTGTCTTCTGTTGTTACACCTTGAGTTCTACTCACTGTATTACAGCATCGTTATCATGTTCATTCGAATTCGTATTATTATTATTTATTGCTCCCTTGGGTTCCTAGTGGAACATAGGGCTTCAACTGCACGTCTCCATTGCCTTCTGTCTTCTGCTATACTTTTCGCCTGCATCCATGTTAATCCATATTCTTTCAACTCATCTTCACACGATCTCCTCCATGTCACCCTAGCAATGACGTCCCACACGCCGCTTCCCTTTCGGCCTGGTTCCACTCGAGGATTCGAATTCGTATAGACCCAATTTCGATTTTCCAATCTTATGAATTCTAATCACTGATTACGCAATTAACACAGACATTTTTTTACTCTAACAATAAAATTGTCCATTTCTTAAGAGAAACTTTTCTCTTATAATCGATAGATGAATAGATAGATAAACTGATTGACCAATTGAACAAGTACTGGTACAGAATAATGTGAATGCATTTTATTTCTTATGTTCTCATGATCTGGATACAACCTAATACCAGTTATCGTACAGTCTGTTCATCCTCATGAGTCAGTCTTCCAATAAGTAAGGATTACTGTTGTCAATAAGTCATATGGATGATAAGGTTGTCTGACAGGCAGCAAGTAAACCAAACCACAACCAGCTGCTTAAACTGGGAGATAGATTGAGTATACGTTAAGGTGATAGTAAAGTGATATTAGGCACGAGACCATTGATTGGAACTTTAACGGAGAGAGATGAATTTAACATTCTAGAGTAACATGGAGATAAGTATTAGGTGATAACAAAAGCTTGTAGGTGCTCTTATTGTTAAATGGAAGTGATGAGTGATATGTATCCATTTATATATATATATGCGTATGTATGTTGGTCTCTCTTTCTGTTTGCTCGCTACGTCTGTGACCATTTCACTTGTATGAACCTGTCTCCTTTAACAATGTATGTTCTCCTTATATTATCTTATATATAATATGAGTGTTTGTTGACAGTCCGTTGCTTGGTGACACATATATCCATATATGGTGGTTGTTGACATGTCTGCTATATTTCGCTATGTATATATGGATCGATACTTCATTATAATTAGCCATTCATGTTAAGACTGCCTAATGATTTGTTCACACACTTTGTCTGGAACATTTTCATATATATTTCGCATTCACAATTTGTGTGACTTACTTACTTTGGTGTGATACCACTTTTGCATTCTCCTTGTGTTTGGAAAATAGAAGTATCATCGCAAACCTAGTGGTCTTCTGATTTCCGCCTTCTTGCGTCAGGACTATTAGTTTCTCGACCAGTCCATGACAATAATTTAGCGACGAGTACATAACAATGAGTGAAACCTGAGTTTAGCGAAGATGTCCCATTAAAGCCCTATTTCTCACTCAAAACCCAATGAACGAGTACGACTCCAACAACCAATAATAATACTAAAAATAACCAATGTGCACTATAGGGTAATTAAAATTAGTTACCTTGTTGATTATACTAAGAGCTGTGGCTGGAGCGATCCATTCTCTAGCATGAATTCCAGCATCTATCCAGATTATTGGTTTCGATGGATCTAAAGAAATCTGCAAAATAAGATAAACAATCAATAAAACATTCAGAAAATCATAATGATATGACATAGAATGCAAACTCGAGTCTCCACGATACTTCATATGACAGTAAAAGCTGGATGAAATCAATCAGAGAAAAACATAATACCATATAATTCCTGAATATATGAGATAATATTATCTTCTGAAATGAACTCTTCGCATCACTTTATTTTATCTCAGAGCAGATTAAAATACACAGTCCATCTTACATCACGTTTAACAAATAAGATTTGATAGTGTGTTCTTGTGGATACGTCTTCCCCTTTGTACGCTAGGCAGATGAAAACTGGTTTCTTTTCAACGGTTTCAGGTTTTGGTTTGTGTACTTCTTCATTTCTCTACTTTAATATGAACTTTCGGGGATATACATTCTCCATGAGGTTCTTTTCGATGACGGCGAATTCTTCTTAAATAGTGTCTTCCGAACATATTTCTTCGGCTGTGCTAAAGAGCGGTTTTACTAGACTTCGTTTGTAGCTGGTTGGGCAAAAGCTGTGATAATTTAAGTATTGACCAGTCCAGGTTTCTTTCCTGTAGACAGATTTTTGAATCATCCCATCGTTTCTTCTTTTTATGTTGACATCAAGGAAATGGAACTGGTTGTTTCTTTCGTAGTCAATTGTAAAAATGCAATGTGGGAATGAGCCGCATTGAGTTTCTCAAACATTGCGGACACGTGTTCTATATCACTGCAGACCACAAACGTGTCGTCGACATATCTGAAGTAATAGGTGGTTCTTTCCATTTCTTCTTTCATTCGAGTCTGTTCAAGATGTGCCATGAATATGTCGTAATTTTTTTAGAGTGACCATCATCCAGCTAAATAATCTACGAGCTTGCCTTGTGACCAAAAGATTCTCGGTTCAGACGGTAGTGGCTACATACTGCTGGAGAATCCAAATTGCGAGGATTTCAGAGTTTCTCTACCTGACTTTTTCAAACTGTCTGATTTTTCAAGCTTTATAAAGAATGAGAATAATTCCACGTAAAAAAAATAGAAGTGAACTCATCCGACACATAGTTTTTAAACATGATTAAATGTAAAGGTTTCAAATAACACCCAAGAATTTTATATTCTCATGAATTAGATATTTTACGATCACAAAATTCATCACAGAAAAGGTATCATGTTTCACCATTTTTCACTTACCATAACACCTTTAATTTGTCTGCCTTCAGAAGTGACACCTATAGTCTCTACGGTTGTATATGGATTCAGTTGTTCCAAAGTATCTAAATATTGGATAATCTAAAAACAAAGAGAAGCCCGTGGTATTTTTTTTTTAAATATTAAAAACGCTACATGATTGAGAGTAATCTGAGACTTTTATGGGTGAGGAAAAAAACACAAAAAAATAAATCATTTAGTTCATTTATTCACGCATACAAACTATGTTAGCTTCATTAGAGTAATTCAGATGAAAAACCGTAGAATTCGGCGAGATAGAATATAGTTAAATTCCAAATTAGACAAATTTATTTTAATTGCTGGATAGTGACTAGCAGTGGAATCCAGCCAAGATGAGCATTTCGTTCTATTTGGAACTCGTCTTCCAGCTGGATGTACCTGTATTCGCCAGTGAGTTATAATGTTCCTCCCACTGAGGCTCGAACCCAGTGCCCATAGTTTCAAACGCCGATGTGTTATCCACCAGACCACCACCACTTCTTGTGCAACGTTTCATACTGATTATTTAATTGAATTTTAGATTTTCCGGTCGATTGACTGGACTGAAGTACTCGACCAGTATGACCTGTTTCACAAAACGTTGTTCGTGTGGCCGAAGTGGTCTAGTGAATAACGCTTTGGCGTTTGAAACTATGGTCACTGGGTTCGAGTCTCGGTGCGAACATCATCACTCACTGGGAATGCAGCTATATCCGGCTGGTGGACTAGTCTCAAATAAGACGAAATGTGGTCCTGGATTCCACTGCTAGTCACCATCCACCAATTAACTTCTAATTACACTCCTAGACATCATCGAAACATCTAACTTGACAACTTGAAACCGAGCACTTCGGTCCGATCAATCGACGGGAAAATTTAAAATTGAATTAAATTTATTTTACATACGATACAACAATACAATATTAAAAAATGGATGAGGTTACAAGCAAACGACAGCACTAGTGTAATATGGGTTTAAGCCATCTGAAGTTTTAATATTCTCTGGTCGAGAAATCTCACTGATATGAGGGCATAAAAGACAATATTCCACTGTTGGTATCCTCAGTATGTATGTAACAAATGACACTTACTCCTATAGAGTTAAGTACCATCCAGACACCGTCTAGAGGCTTGTGGTTGTCAAAAAGGGAATGTAGAACAGTTATCAGTGCAATTCTCCACAACGTTATTACTTCTGGTTAGACAGAATCAACAAAGACTTCATTCAGAGTAATACATAAACTATAATCAGGCCTTCCAAAAGAATTGCGCTTAAATCTTCATGTAACCGAAGCTGTAGCATTACATAGTGAAAAGAAATCTGAACTTTGTGTCCAGAAACATCCTATCCAGCCTCTTCGACTACCGTCACCTTCGTGTATCAATATTATTTCCTTTGAAATGTTGCATAATATACTCAGTGTAGTCTTCTGATTTTTTAATTGTTCTGGAACCTATTCTCAGTCCTTTGCTGTCTTGTTTTTTTATCAATTAACTGGAAATGATTCTTCATCGTTTAATTGATTAATTGTGAACCCTCTTGATTACATAAGACTGGTCACCATTTTTTATTCATTACTATTTCGTATACACTTTGGAAGCATTATTAGAAGACGGAGATTTATCTGAAAAATGGGATGTATTTACACTATACATTTCGAACAATCTAATCACTCACTCATTTACTTGTCAAGTCAATATATATATGGAAAAGTTAAATTAAACAAAGTGAGAGAAAACGGAATTAAGAATAATTAACACATATGTTTGGTAATCCAATCAAATAAGGATTACCAAGGTAGGTTAAGAGTAATAACAAATTGTTTTTGAATACACAGAGAGGGGCTTAAGTCTATGAATAGCTATAGCCTCAGAGTATTTCAGTAAACGCCCTTGACCGTTTTTATAGATGACCTTAAAGGCTGAGTTAACATCAAGCTTATAGTTCATCTCCTGATTAGATGTTTAGCTATAGACGAAGTTGATAGTCTGACACCTGCATCTACTGGTTTTTCACAATTCATTTGATTTTTATAACCATTTTGCGATGTGCTCTCCCACCCTCACATACAAAGCACGATGACTCCTCCCTATGTATGTGTGTCCACACACACACGAAAATTGGTAAATTGTGTAGGATGTGACATAATCTTTATAATAAAGGTTTTTATATTTCCCAATGAATGAAAAACAAAACAATATTGTTTTTACTGATGTTTCGCTATTTAACGCTAATAGCTTTATTAAAGTATAATAATGAATTTCATATACCCAATGCCCAAATCTTTTCAAACCGTTAAAAGTGAACTTGGTTTGGACATACGTTACATAATCACTTGTGCACTTTTAAGGTTTGCAGTGAAGCATATTTTTAGCTTACAAGCTGGGCTGCATAGTAGGTTCTACGGATGATCGAATTCGACCTTTGTCTCAAAATCCTGCTGTTTATTTCCCCATTATATAGTAATTTGATGAAAACCTTTTTCTTAGGGGTGGTATGGATTGTAGATTTAGAGACTAATTGACTTCTACACCTGTTTACAAATTTTAAAGGATGTCCGTTTTCAACGAGATCAACCATTAATATTTCATTTTCTTTGTCTATAACATCAGCGGTGCAAATACGTTAAATCCTCTCAAATAGACATTTCACCAAGCCTCTCTTATACTGTAATGGACAGAAACTGGGGAAATTAAGGTACTGTCCTGTCCAAGTGGGCTTCCTGTAGATAGACCGTCTTATTAAGCCAACATCTCTTCGACTCAGAAGTATGTCTAAAAATGCAAGCTGGTTGCGCGACTTTATTCGTATGTAAGACTAATATGATTCTGTGCAGAGTTAAGCCTGTTTAATAGACGACTCGCATCTTCATGATCGTCGCATATCAGAATGATATCATCTACATATCTCTTATAGAAGGGAAATTTAGAAATTAAATCAAATATATCGCATTTTTCAGATAATCTCCGTCTTCTAATAACGCTATCAAAAGTATACACTTTGACTCTTTTTTTATTAATAACTGGAAATAACCTTTGATCTCTATTATCAGTAAAATTTGCATTTGTAACCAACAAATAACTTTACGGCTTTGAAGTGAAGTTTCGAAAAGACGACACCTATCTGACGACTTGTCTTCCCATTTTAGAAGTAAAAATAGCACTTCAGTGAAGAAAATTTTCTTTTCAACGAAGTCATCAACTAGACTGTACATTCGTGTATTTATATCAAATGTGTGAGAAAGTTCCAGAATTATTTCCAGTAAAAGTTCAAATGAATAAAATTACTAAGTTTAATAAGCAGAAATAAGTAGTGGTACTATTGTAGAAATAATTCAGTTCAAAGGTCAAATTATAAATACAGTGTGCAACAATCTAGAAGGTAGGGTTGCAAAGGCATTATAAGTTATAATTACTCAGAAGTTAGAATTCATGGGCCTTTGGATTGCGTCCCAGTGGTTTAATGGTCTAGGAGATCGCCTTGTAACCAGAGACTCGTGTGGTGGGTGTATGCTGATGAAGAGACCCGAACTAGGACGAAACAGCTGTGTAGTACTCCAAGTTGGTTTTACACTGGTTCTTTAAATGATTTCAGCTCATGATGAAATCCTTCAACTACTCAGAAGTGGCCTTAGAAGTGAGGATAAAAGTTGTAAATTACGTAACACTTAACGGCACGAAGAAAGAAAGGGGTAAAAATTTGATAAGGTTAAAGGTATTATTATTTAGCCTCACCTTGTAGATGATCTTGAAAGACTACTCTGTTGGGGCTACGTGGCCTGAGTTCACCAAGTGCTCGAGAATTGAGCTATGCGTTGATGGCACAGTAGTTAGAACTCTCGCCGACCACGCACATAGTCCGGGGTTCGATCCCTTGCCGACGCATACCTGATATCTATGGTCGGCCTGCAAAATTTAAGCTACCGATATCACATCATGAAAATTCCATACATGTACCAAAAATACACTGTGAAATCAAACTGTAACCAAAAATATAAAAAATTAGAAAAATCGTAACTATCTTGCATTGTCCTTTTGTTAACCCTATCGGATAATGATCAGAGATACGTTTGGAAATTGTGGACTTTGTGTAGCCAATATAACCAGCTCCACACGAGTATGTGAATTTGTAAACACACCTTGAAGTGGCTGACTGTGTATAAAATCTCAGCATCTACACAAAAGGTGCATGGGATATCTAAGAACTCATGTCATCCTTAGTGTAGATGTCATATCTGACTATTGATCAATAAGATACAACAGTTCCCTCTGTCTCTACTTATCTGTTGTGAGAAACAGCTTACAAAAGTGGAGGGTCATAAGTGTCTGCGTCCTGTCTCTAGTGCTAGTTGTTATAATGTAGTCAGTAATAGAGAGGCTTGGTATATAGTGCTATACTGGGATGAGAAGTCATTTAGTGTGATGCAGAGATTTCATCGATATGTGTTACATATGTTGATCTATTGTCTCCCCCCTACGTGCACCGTTTATCAGAAAAATGTGTTCCCTCAATCATTGACACCCGATGGCAGTTCAACTTGAACAGAAGCACCATTGAAGAATGTCGATCATCTTATATGACTTCAAGTCACACTGACTATTCTATCCAGAAATTAACTGGTATACAGTGAGTTGAACTAACAGACATGTTTGTGAAGTTATCAGTTCCCAGTTAGAATTGTCCAATTATTTTCAAATATTACTCGTTAAGAGAAGCTAACTGACAGTGAGGTCCTAAGAGAATTAGGTTTCGTTTTCGACGACAGTCATCATCAACAAGACAGATTTCCAACCACATTCTCGTTTTTTCTATGGGACTTATTATCAGCAAGAGACTGGGATAGCACCTGGTTTAATTAAAGGCAGACTCAATTACACAAATCGATCGATCGATGGTAAGGAATCCAGCTATCAGGAATGTTGTATTCAGCTATCGATTGATTATGCAGTGTCATTTTCAGACTGCAAGGTTTATTTGGATGAGTCAATTTTTGTTCTTTGCTGGGTTCCCACCAATTCTATAAAAGTATTCAGGACTTAGGCCTCAGTCATGTAAATGAATCGTGTGCTAATAGAAGTAACAAAATCGAAAAGTAGAAAAGAATGGAACGCATCATAGACAGTTGAACACTTTTAAAATGTATTTTGATGAATAAAGAAAGACTTGGGAGATTCACTTGCATTAAACTTACCTTATGCTTATAGGGAAATACGTTTTCAAGTATAGTTTAATATGTAGAAATAAAATTCTGATTTGTTACAAGACTAGAACCGCTCGTCAAGGTAGAGTCTTGAATTTTCATTAGCCTCATGCCCAAACTAACGCTGAATCCCTCAAAATGCCAGACTGTCGACTTCTCCTTTAGGCATAAACGAGATCTACAAACACTAGTAAGCACTCATGATGTCTGTAGAATTGAGGGGACTATAATTGAAACAAAGTCTAATGCAAAATACCTCGGATTAGTTATATCTTCCGACCTTACCTGGTCATCTCATATCCAAATGATTTCCAAGAAAGTGTTTCGTCTAACCTACTACATTAAGAAACTCAGACTAACTGGAGTCCCTCAACCTCTGCTTTCACAATTTGTCAACTCTCGTATCCTACCTATTCTACTTTACTGTTCCCCGTTAGTCTTTCCTGGGTTACTGAAAAAGGATTATACCATCCTGAGAAGGATGTTGAAGGTAGTTAGTAGGACTAGCGGTGTAAAACTCAGTCAGCTCGTCACAACATTAGTGGATAAGCATCTGAATACATGTGAGAAATGGTCTAAAACCATACTCTCTGACCGCCAACACCCCCTCTATTCCCAACTCTCTCCTTGCATCTCATCAGGTAGAACCAGAAATCAGTACAAAATAATATATGCTCGTACAACCAAGTATAGGAACTCAACGATACCATATTTGGCCCGTGTTCTAAGTGACAGAGACAATGTTAAGCGTGAAACCTATGACTTGCTTTGTTGTTAATAACATAATTTTGGCCCTTGTTATTTCCCCCTTACACTCTCTTATTTGTACTCTATAGTGAACAACCTTCTTAAACATACTTAGCTGCTTAAAATTATTATCATTGGCTTACATTTTTATTCTTTATTCTATTCCTTCTTTGTACATCTACTGGGTCCGACTATATTATCACTATGATTATTAAAAATTGTCCCGTCATTAACCATCATGTAACATTAGTTTTGTGGTTGTTCTTTGTTCGGCACTATTTAACTGACAATCTTGTTTGTTATTGCCACTATCACCATCTTAAAAAATTTTGTATTATGCATGATTCCTCACACTACCACTACAAACAACCGCATTAGTGCTGACAATAAAAAAAACACAACCTGAAATGTTTATCTTATGATTGCTTAGTGTTGTTCAATCAAATTAACTGATCATCTTAGCTATAAACATTTTTTTAAGAACATCTCATAATTTCCCGTATGATTATAGCTGTTACTGTTCACCACGCATACTCATATCGTAGCTTCCACTAACCAATACTGAAATATTTTTTCATTATTTGTGTTTATCTTCCTTTTTACTTGGTATTTTTATTGCATTTTTTTGTTATTTCTGTGTTTCTTTTTTGGTTTTTTGTCGTTGTTGTTTTTTTTTAAATATTTTTTTTATAATACTCCTTTTAAATGTACGATGAAATTAGATGCAATATTGTAGATATGTGCTGAAAATTCCACACTGTACCACAAGTACTGTTTCTGGAATAAAGCGAAATTGTTATTGTTAAAACTGCCCTACTTATCAGTCTTATTACCAGCTTAGCGTGGTAAAGGAGTGCGTCGGCCGGGGATCGAACCCTAGAGCACATGTGCAGTTGGCGAGCATTCTACCGGTGTGCCACCGATGCATCTAGGGGGTAAGGAATAATAAAGCTAATTACTTCAACGCAGTGATGCATAGACAAGTGAAAATGAGAAATAAAATATATCTCAAACGAATTATATCTTGAAATACTGTACACACTCCTACTTACTTCATCATATGTCTTATAATATGGTCTTTGTCGTCCAGTTCTCATGAAACCGGATAGTCTTCGTGCGTGGTTTTCACGCTTCTCATCCAGTATTGCCCTACAAAAATGAAGTAAACAAAAATTAATGTCCATTGACACTGAAGGTGTTGTTTTCTAAACATGCTAAAACGGAAATCTCTTTGAATAAAATTTTTGCCAAAGCTAAAGACATTTCAAAACGTTAAATATTTCCAGGAACACACTGAAGTTAGGGAATCCCTACAGTCAGACAATAAGGAAACAGTCAACCATCCTTTTTATTTTCCGAAAAATTCTCTGGTTCTAACATGCATGACTAATCAAAATTATAATGATAAAAAATATGTCAAAAATATTCATTCAGATATCTAGAAAGAGCGAAGAATATCCTTTTCGATTTCTGAATCGTGTAACGTGTATTTGAGCAACACATTTCAAACAGTCTAATCACACACACACAGACTTGTCATAGGAATACATATATGAAATCAATAAAGAGGTAACAGGTGAGAAAATAGACAAGTTAGGTCAAGTTAAAAGGAGGACATATTCAAGGTCGAAATAACGATGAAAACCTCTAAACCAAATAGCAGAAGTAATATAGTACATCTACCCTGACTGCTTTCAATACAAAGTTTATCAAGGAAGGAAGGCTAAATGTGATGACGAATTGTTACTTTGATCGCATCAAGGTGGCTTAAACTTTCTAATCACTAGGGCTTCCACAAACTTTAGAATATGCATTCCCCCCAAACACGTTTTATAGATAGGGTTAAAAGATCTGCTAACGTCAATTTTATGTCTTGTCTCTATAATATATTTCGCAATAGAACAGCGAGGTCTCCTCTTCTCATCGTTAATAGATTCTGAAAATTCCATTTGTTTCTGAAGCTATTTAGGAATATGCTCTGAAACCAGCCCTTACTTGCAAAGATCGATGAGTCCTCCCTATGTATGTGCGTTCACACGTACATTCAAAATGGTAAATACAGTCGGATGTGACGTCATTTTCCTCATGTTCGAAAGGCTTAGACAGATAATTTCCACTTTTGGATCTACAATTATATATACATACATATATATGTATATGTTTATATACATAGAATATTCTTTTTTTTTTAATTTTTGATTACAGCTTGATTCCACACTGTATTTTTGGTACAAGTATGGAATTTTCAGCATGGATATTGGTAGCCCAAATTTTGCAGGCCGACCATAGATATCAGGTGTGAGTCGGCAGGGGATCGAACCTTGGACCATGTGCATGGTCGTTGAGATTCCTAACCACTGTGCCACCGACGCACATCTGGATGAACCTCACTGGTCACGAGGATGGATGTCCCACCTACCACAATGGTTGGAGTCGCGCTAAATCACGAATTGGTAGAAGTTAGAATTCATTAGCCATTGGGTCGGGTCCCAGTGGTTGAATGGTATATGAGCTTGGCTTGTAATCGGAAGGTCCTGGGTTCGAAACCCAGTGGGTGCGTACTGCCAATGACTCTCAAACTAGTATGAAACAGCAGCTGTCCAGTAATCCCTGGTTTTCAATGGTTCTCTAACTGATATCAATCCGTGATCAGCTCGTAATAACAAAACTAACCCTTTCAGACCAAATTTTAGAAGATATCAGTCTGCCTACCTTAGTCTAAATCAGACATAATCACTGACAAAGAAGTTCACTTGAAAGATACCTTTTTTTTGATTTACAGCTTGATTCCACACTGTATTTTTTGTACAGGTATGGATTTTTCAGCATGTGATATCGGTAGCCCAAATTTTGCAGGCCGACCATAGATATCAGGTGTGCGTCGGCATGGGCTCGAACCCCAGACCATGTGCATGGTCGGCGACAGTCCTAACCATTGTGCCACCGACACACAGTGATAAGATAGTCGTCATTAACAATATTGGTGTTTTTTAAAATAATATGGATTTATAAAGTAAGATCGTTGTGGAATTACAGTTCACAAAAAATGCATACATTGTAATAAGCATAAAAATGTAATAGAAAATAGAATATCAAATGAAGATAATTTTATTTTATTTTTTATTTTTGATTACAGCTTGATTCCACACTGTATTTTCGGTACAAGTATGGAATTTTCAGCATGGATATCGGTAGCCCAAATTTCGCAGGCCGACCATAGATATCAGGTGTGCGTTGGCAGGGAATCGAACCTCAGACCATGTGCATGGTCGGCGAGAGTCCTAACCACTGTGCCACCGACACACGATAATTGACAATGTGAAGCCAATATATCCATCTAAACCCCCTGAACATGCGGAAAATGATTTTACATCTCACTGTATTTATTATTTTGAACGTAGGTGTGGAGATACATATATAGGAGGAACTCACCGACCTCTGCAAGTAAGGTCTGGCTCCACAGCATATTCCTAAATTGGCATAGGAAGCAAATATTATCGCCAGAACCGATTAATGGTGAGAACAGGAGACCTAGCTCCTCTGTTGCGAAACGTATTATAAAGAATGGACATAAAATTTATAGATAGAAGAACAGTAGTTCAGCGAAGAGTCTCTTTTCGTTTCATTTTTATAGCTGCACAATCGCAGATATATATATGGATGTTTTGTATGTGTGTGTACATTAAATTTGTCAAACGGAATTGTACAAATTTGTACAATTTAGGCGTCGATGGCATAGCGGTTAGGACGCTCGTCGACTATGCACATGGTCCGGGGTTCGATCCCCGGCCAACGCACTCCTTTACCTCGTTAAGTCACAAATAATTCTGGTAAAGGGCAAAGGTTGGGCATAGAGCTAACAACCCCATCCCGTAAAATAAACACTGCTACAGAAACTTCAAGCCACTAGCTTGTGTTCTATATCCATACGATGGGATAAAATAGCGCTATGCGAATGGATTTCCTTTGTCCTTTACTTAACCACTATGCAGGATGATGCTTGGAAATCTAATGAGATAAATCGTAATCACATTCTCATGCCCAGACAGTCATTATGAATTGTGAACCGAAAAGTAAAAGTTTCTTCGTTCATTCCTTTTATCTTCTAAATGTTTAAATGGGAGTTTCTTTATCAATATTTTTAAAAGAAACACAAACTTGCAACTGACTAACTCCACACTAACCTTCTTGCAATTCCCCTGTAATGTTGACTTACTTTTGAAGATTGTTTATTACTGTTTCATAGGAAATATGAACATTGTTCAAAAATCTTGTCAAATTGTTGAATCCATTTGGGGATACTGATATGTACATTGAATGATTTCCACCTCTTGGAAAACTCCAAATATCATAATTCTCCTGTAGAAGAAATAAAAAAACCAAAAAGGGTTTCGAAATTTAAATTCTATTCTCCAATATATCGAATGTAATTCATATGTGGGGTAAACAAAAAAAATGTCCATGAACAATCCCAATTCAGACATTCATAAACACAGAACACGTAGTTCACCAATGACACTGTTTTCGGTGGTGGATTCATTTCCCCCTTTAACTGTAAAACTGAACTTAAATACACTCTGTTTTTCATGAAAGTGGATAGTGACAAAGGCGATGAGTTTTCACATACATAGTCGTTAGATATTAGATGGTTGAAGACAATCTGCCACAGGAAGTCTTTGACCTACGTTTCGTGCTAGTTGGCATTCATCAGTCAACAAGGCGTATCTGAGATTCGAATCCGTGTCATCCAGTGAGTGCTGCAGGCAGAGACGTTACCAGTGAGCCGGCGACTGACTTCCTGTCGGATACACTAGCTAGTTATCAGGGTAATATGTCTAGTGCTTTGACTGATGCAGACTTAATTCTATCAGCCAATAATTCACAGTGCATCGTGATAACGAGCCGTCTAGAATACTGGCCATATCACAAACTTGACTGGTAAAATTCAGTCTACATGAAACATAGGACTAGACACATTACACGAGTTACTTACCTGTTTCCAATCAAAGCATAGTTGGCAATGTTGTTCAATGCATCAAAGAAGGTGAATACGTGTACTAGAGTCACGCAACAAAATAATTTATCGAGTGGTTTGTGATCAAAATGAACACAGAAACGAAGGAAAATAATGAATTATGTAAGAGTGACCAGTAGGGTACAGCAGGTCGAAGATGAAGCAATAACTTATCGAAGAAAACATTGCGAAATGGTCGCGCTGTGTCGTCAATTGGCGGAAGTTAGAATTCAAGAACCATGGGATCGGGTTCCAGTGACTCAGTGGTCTATGAGGTCGCTTGGCTTGTAACCAGAAGGTCCTGGGTTCGAACCCCGGTGGGTGCGTACTATTGAAGAGTCCAAGACTAGGATGAAACAGCTGTCCAGTACTCCCAGGTTTTCCAGTGGTTCTCTAACGGATGTCAGCTCATGATGAAATCCTCCACACAATTATGTAAGAGTTGTGAAGAATGACTGAGTAATGACCAAGGCTTCAGCATATATGTACTGGGTAAATAAAGCGCACAACCTCAGCTACATTAATTGAAACAAGCATGACGGTTAGTACTGCTGACTGATTGACATGAGTACTATTTGAACAGCAGTACTGGCCAACCGAAACGAATTAATTTGGACACCAGACAGTCACTCCAATCGTTTGAGGCCGACTCGCTCCGCAGTGTACACGATTTCGAATCAGTTCAAACTACCTAGCTGCTTCATTTAAATACTAATAGGTAGAACCAGATTCGTTGTTTGATCAAGGCGAAAAATCACCACGGTTCCTTTAGACCAATTCGATATGCTTATGAATCACTACTAATGTCTGTGAATACCTTCCAACTATTTGCGTCAGCCAGTGTTACATTATATCACGTATACATGCCTAATTTCTTGATCGCTAGGTATGGTGTCAAAGTAATAACCTATTGTGATGTGGATATTTTTTTGTTTCTTAAGGAATCTGGGGGGATGTTTTTACCTTGGACTGTGTAAATAATGACTTTGTTTCAGTTAAATGATATCGAAATGATCTTCTACCATCTGTATCAAAGTGTCTTACAAGGATATTCTCATCCTGTACCTCTGATCAAGTGTTTACAATAATTTCTAACTGTATTTGGTTGATTAATTTTGTTGAATAGAATGCATTTTGTACGTGAGAATCTTTTGGAATAGATAGCCACCGGAAGGCATTGTTGAAGTAGTTCTGTGTTTTTGGTATGAGTTGTTGAATGATACCACAAATCATGCGAAACAGAAACCTCTTTTGATATTCCTGGAATGTGTCACTTGCGAAAGTTCTTTCTCACAGACTACTGGTTAAAATAGAAATATAGAATGCATACCTTCTAGCTGTTAGTTAACATTCGTATGGGGTAGTTGCCTTCTACCAACCAAGGCACAGTCAGTTAAGATATAACGGAGATGATTTCTAGATCATGCGGAAGGGTTGATGTAGCTGTGTTCTCTGAGGTGAATAGATTCCTTGAGAAGCTCTCATTGCCTTACTTGGCAACATCTTCAGCGCATACTTCAATTCATTGAAGTGAGCTATTAATGATTCTCCACGGGTTTAATAGTCATTTCTCCTCACCACCTTGAACGTGATTGGTTGATTTCTTTTGTTTTCATACCCTGCAGTCTACTTGTACTGGTATTGGTTTTTCCTTGACCTCAAGTTTGACTTTCTGTGAATGTGATTTTCCTCTTATGAACTGGAAAATTATATCTCTATCAATGTGCCTGTTAATTGTCGATTCACTGAAAGATCAAGCTTCCAAATATTCTAAAGCATTCTTGATGTTTCCTTTGTTTAATATTTTAACGTTGTCCCAATCAAACTGATGCCTGTGGTCGCCTTTACATAGCGATATGAGAGAGTGGATGTCATGTCTTTTCACGGCTAGTTTGTGTTCATGGATGCGAAGAAGAAGACGACGAGGCCATCCACTTTGGCCAATGTGGTGTTTTTCGCAATCGTTGCAGTTTATTTTGTGAATGATGTTGGTTTTATCTTCTTCCTCTGTTGATTCCTTTCAGCTAACACAGAGCTGAGTGAAGTAATTTTGTAGGTGCAGTTCCTAAAGATGTGAAGAGTCTTGCAGTGATTTCCGAGATGGTCTTTATATACGGTAAGACGATTTCCCTTTACCTCTTTGTAGGCCTTTGATTTGGTAGGTTGGCTCGGTGATAGATGTCCTACGGATATTCATTCTTTTGGAAGACATCCATGAGATGTTTTTCTTTAATTTTCCTTAAAGTAAGAGTGCTGTAATGAGTGTCCTGGCTGTCTTGACTAATCTATACATGCAACTCTTTTTGTCTGGTATTGAGTTGGTGCTATGGTAAATCAGTATTTGATTTAAGTGAGCTGATTTTCTCAGTCAGTTCGATGAACCAAGCACATTCAATGTGACATTAATAACACCGAAACTATTCTTAAATTTTTAAACATTTGATTCAGAAACTCCAACACTGGGGTATTTCACACATCCTCTTGGTTATCATTCAGAATCAAATTTAGCGCTTGATTCAAAAAGATTATTGTTATACCCATGATCTTTTTAATGCAAAGGATACCATTTTAGCATATAAATAAGCCTTCCAAGACACTTTACACATTTATAGATATATTAATACTTTTACAAAAATTTCATTTAGCTAATTCTAACTAAAGTCCTAATTTAGTAGTATACGAAAAACATTCGAAAATAACTTACCGGCTCATTTATGTATAAATTGTTGATTGTATTCAAAATATCTGGATTTGAAATATTCATCTGTAATACCTTAAAACTTTTAAATAGAAAACGAAAAGAAAGATATAATGAGGTAAATGATAAATGCCTTTGATATCTCAGCAATAAAATAAACACAAATACATATCAGATATTTCATCGTTATGTCCAATATGATCCCTTGTCTGAATCTACAAAATGAACATGACCATTGAACAATCAAAAACAATGAACTAATGAATTCGTTTCAATGTGGAATTTCGTTAAATGATTGAATCACAGAGTTTCAACGGAAATACTTTTCACAGTAGTGCATCACCACTTTAACTTGTCACACTCCACGTAACACACACAAAAGCAGAAAAAAGTGAGAGAAAAGAAACTTCGAAATAAATGGGAATCCGTTGCACCAACAGGGATGGTCAAGAAGATATGGACTTTGCCAATAATTTATGTCTGATGCCAAACGAATTCCAGGATATGTAGACGAAAACCAACATGTTACCAGAGGACGCAAGGACTTTAAATGAACATAGAGAAGACAGAGGCGAAGAAGATACCCACTGATCAACTACAATCTAAGTAGCATCGTTTCAACTACAGGCAGTAAGTACGGGTGAGGATATCAAAGCCAGTTAGGAGTGGAAAAGCAAGAAGGAGCTTCATCCCTCTAAAATTAGTTTGGAAATTTTTTTTGCAACCCCAGTGTAAAGAACGAAATTTGGATTCTCATCACCAGTGTTAAGTCATTAAGTTCTTCTATATGGGTCAGAAACTTGACGTGTCACGTAAAACACTTCAACAGCCACCCTCTTTGCGCCACATTCACGATAAGATGGACAGACAGAAAGAATTGGCAACAAGCAACTATGAGCGAAAACCGACAAACTGCCCGAAGAAGCAGCAAAGACAGAACTCCAGGTAAATATAGATAAGACGGAGGTTATGAAAATAACCAACCAACAACAGCAACAACATCAAACGTCAATCACCATCAACGGGAGGGATTTGAAAGAGGCTACTTCATTCACTTATCTAGGGAGCATTGTCTCAAATACAGGAAGAGCGGACGAGGATGTCAAATCGAGAATCGGGAAGGCGAGAAACACATTCATCAGCCTGAAATCAATCTGGAAATCTTCGTCACTCAGCATCAACAACAAAATTCGGATTTTTAATACAAACGTAAAGTCAGTTCTTCTATACGGATCAGAAACTTGGCGGGTCACAAAGAATATTTCCAAAAGGTTTCAGACCTTTATTAACAACTGTCTTTGCTCAATACTGAAGATCAGATGGCCGGAAAGAATTACCAACAAGGAATTATGGGAACAAACAAAGCAAGAACCAATCGCCAACCAACAAATATGCAGGAGAAAGTGGAGATGGATCGGACACTCGCTGAGGAGACCGCTGGGTGACATCGCGCGCCAAGCCCTCGAGTGGAACCCAAAAGGGAAGCGGCATGCGGGACGTCCAAGAGTGACGTGGAGGAGATCGTGTGAAGAGGAGTTGAAAGAATATGGATTAACATAGATGCAGGTGAAAAGTATAGCAGAAGACAGAAGAAAATGGAGACGTGCAGTTAAAGCCCTATGTTCCACTAGGAACCCAAGGGAACAATAATAAAATAATAATAACTATGAGCATTAAAAAAATAAAAATCTTCCGCTTAATTGATATCCCGAAGAAAATGGAAATCAACCGCAGACGCTGAGGAGACGGCTTGATTACAGCGAGCACTAGACCAGACAGTGGAGTTGAACCTAAGTCAGAAAAGACGAGTAGGACATCAGTCGGAGGGTGGCATGGAAGAGATCGTGTGATCAACAGCGTATAGGGAAACGTGACGACAGGCAAAAAGGACTGTAAAGAACAGTGTGTGAGCGCCCTATGTTCCACTCTGAACTCAAGGGAATAAGAGTAGTAAGCAGAAATATGAGGGGGAAAGAATAATAATATGGACAAATATTAGGGTTTAACGGATATAGCTGGCTACAAATAATGAATGCATCTTAGGCTAGTGAGAACAAGCTATATCACTGATTGCCTCCAGCCACTGCTTCTTCAAATATCAACGATCCCGATCAGGAAGCTCACATCCCCTACGCAGCTGGTTGAAACTAACTTTCAAAGATTTCATGGACCGATTCCCCTATGAAGTAAATGAAGTTAGAATTAAGATTAGGATTATTATGCATCGACACACTGTACTACAACACTAACTTGTGAGTACTGAGAACAGTAATCGTCCTTTAGAAGACCAGCTGTATATACCAAATGACGGACAAGTGAAATCACGTCATAGACGGTGCAATTAAATCACGGAATATACACATGGGGTTATAGGAGTTATTAAAAAGACAACTGCAGCGAAGAAAATTTTCTTTTCGACGAAGTCATCATCTAGGCTGTACAGGCAAGTGGATGGAGTAGCAATGGGTTCTCCTTTAGGACCCTTCCTAGTCGACCGCTTTATAGCTAGCTCAGAAAACAACCCCTTATCACCAACTATCAACGATCTCCATCTCTACAAGAGATACATCGATGATACTTTCATTATTTGTGATGAGAATTGTGATTTAAAAAACCTACTTCAAATCTTCGATAACGCCCACCAAACATCGGCTTTACACTTGAGACTGAATCCGACGCAATGCTCTACTTCCTCGACGTCCATCTGACAAGAAACGCTAACCACTCTTTGAAAAGGTCCATTTGCAAAAAAGCTTACATGGAATGGACAATTCATCAACTTTCAAAGCTTCGTGCCCCTGAGCAGAAAGAGGAACCTGATATACGCTCTTTCCTCGAGGATTCGGAAGATATGCAGCGAGGAAGTGGTTTAAGAAGAACTGCGTAACCTCCAAAAAACCCTGATGGAAAACGGTTTCGCGCCCAGGTTCATAGACAAGAATTGCAAATCTAAGAAGACTTCCGAACAAGTCCAATCCGTTCCAAGAAAATACTTCTGCTTAATCTAGAATTCAAAGGTGATATTGAAGCAGAAATCCTCCTTAAACGCCTCTCCAAATCGCTGATGAAAATATACTCCACCGCTAGCCCACGACTGACGTTTCCTTGCAAGAAACTGTTCAGTCAGAACGCGAAAGACAAGCTGTTGCATTGGACCACCTCAACGCGCATATACCAGTTTACTTGCTCTTGTGGAGCTGAGTACGTTGGCCGTACCATGCGCCGAATTGAAAAATGTGCTCGTGAACACTACCCAGTCTGGTTAGTAAAAGGAGACCAAAAGCGTATAAACAGTTCAGTGACAGAACATCTGGTCAATTCAGGACATTCAGTGCCTTTCGAAAAATCCTTCAAAGTAATATACATGATTCCATCAAACCTATCAAAGGGAGTGAAATCAAGACATCTGGGCATAGCCAAAGCGCTAGCTATCCAAAAGCTCAAACCCAGGCTTTGTATCCAAAAGAAATACGTCCAACCCCTCTCCCTGCCATGGCCATCATAAACAGGTAATTCGTTTAGTTATGACCATCCCATCGCCTTTCTTACCTAAACTTCCTGTTTATTCATGTTATTTTTTAAAGTTTTTCTTAATCCCTGTTTACACTACCATATTTTCATACCCAAACTTCGAGTTTATTTTGTCATTTTACTATTTCTACATATTTAACCCCTGATTACATAAACAATTATTCATCACATTAGTATTTTTTTATCCAAACATCCTGTCTATCTATTTTGTTATTTCTACATTTCTAACCCCTAATTGCACAATGTCAATCTTCTCAGTAATTATGATGCTACTTTGTTTGAGTTTTATCCGCCCTCCCGCCTGTTTATTATGGCATTTTAATTCCTAATTTTAATTTTTATTTATTTGACCTTTAACCGGGAATTATTCTGGAACTTTCTCATCCCTTTGATATAAATACACGAATGTATAGCCTAGATGATGACTTCGTCGAAAAGAAAATTTTCTTCGCTGCAATTAAGTCAATTAATAAGATATTAGAATCTACACGATAATGTAGACAAAATCTCGATATTTATCTGAGGCAACTTCAAGCTTCAAATATTTGTTATATTTCGACCTCTGACTGCAAACGATTCTGAACTTTTCTCACCCCTTTATAATATTCTTCTTCTTTTATTGCATTACGTTCCAAATGGAACATAGAGTAACTTAAAGTTAGAGCTTTGAAGTTTCTTTAGCAGTGCTGTTGTATTCTTGGGGGTGTGGTTGCTAGCCTCATGCCCAACCTCCCCTCTTTACCAGTTTTATTACTGCCTTAGCGAGGTAAAGGCGTTCATCAGTCAGAGATCGAACCCTGGATAACATGCCTGGTTGGCCACCGACCACCCTTATTATGTGGTGACAAATTTTACAGTCTAGATAGTGACTTCGTTAAAAAGCAAATTTTCCCTTTTCTGCGAATATTTATAGGCCTACTTCTTTAGAATATGTTGGGTGGAACTCCTCCACATACACGAATAAGTCATTAGAGACAAAATAATTCTTCCAGTGAACAGAGTAACAGATAATTCCACCTGAAATAAACTAAAACCACGAAACTCACACCCACCATCTACATATGGCTTACCAAAGATATTATTATCATTATTATTCCCTTCAATACAGAATGCTTACCAACCACGCATATGGTCTGGAATTCCATCCCCAGCTGGCATACAGCATTACCTTCTTCAGCCAGTTATAATCCCGACAGAAAAAAAAGTTACCTATGAGACTAGCAACCCCACCCAATGCAATTAAATCTACTGCTGATGAAAATTTGAAACTCAAGCCTGAAGCCCTATACTCAACTAGAAACGCAAAGGAATAAAATAATAATTCCTTTGAGTTTCAAAGTGAAACATTGGTCTTCAAAAAAAAAAACACCTACAGTTCATCATATTCCCTGAATTCCCTTTTCAGTTGGCTACACAACTGTCCGTAAGTCCTCATTTTCTTCTCATACGATATTTTTTATGTCCTACTGTCCTTTAGTCCTTCAGATTCCTCCTGCTTCTTCTACCGGCTTGTTCGGTGAAGGTGAATAAACGCATATCAACCAAATGTAT